TAGGCCTTTTCCTTTTTTTTATGATCTCTTTGGGATACACACCTAGTAGTGGTGTTGCTAGATCAAAGTATGTACAGTTTGGTTGCCTTTGGGCATAGTTCCAAATTGCTCTCCCGAACAGTTAGATCAGATCATAGCTCCACCAACAGTGCATTATTGTTCCAATTTTCACAGCATTTATCATTTTCCTAATTTGTCATATTAGCCAATCTGATAGGTGTGAAGTGCTACCTCAGAGTTGTTTTAATTTGCATTTCTCTAATCAGAAGTGATTTAGAGCACTTTTTCATATGACTGTAGATAGCTTTGATTTCTTCATCTGAAAACTGCCAGGCTCTGAGTTTTTGTACTATATTATGCTGTCTCTCTGGGTATACAAAATACATATAAAACAAATAAAAAGTAATTTTGCACTTATTCAGTAAATAGGGGAGGGAATTCAGGTAGGCCTCACGTAGTATTTGAGCTGAGCTTACAAGGAAATTGGATTTAAAGAGGGTGGGATGTGGAGTGAATTTATTCAAGGCATGGAGGGGGGACAGCTAGTGCAATGTCACAGAGAAAGGACATGTAATGTCGTGTGTGAAGAACTGTAAAAAGGCCAGTTTGAATGAATTGTAGGATGTGTGGAAAAGGGTAATGTATAATAAGGTAGGATGGAACCAATCAATGAAGGACTTTAAATGCCAGACAGAGGAATTTGTTTTTTATATTAGAGAGAATAGGGAGCACTCTAGTTTATTGAGCAGGGGAATGACATGGTCATATCTATGCTTTAAGAATATTATTTTGGCAGCTGTTCAGAGGATGGATTAGGGAGTTCTGTTTTGAGTCAAGTTTTACAACAAACCTCAATCTGCCTCTGCAGCTTCTACCTGTTATTCCTATTTCTTAGCTCTGAGGACAAACAGAACAAATTCCCAACCCCTTTTCTTTTCTTAAAATTTATTTATTTTATTCTGAACTTAAGAAATAAAACAAGCATTTCCAAAGCAAAGTGGAATAGAAAAACAGGATTGCATGTAAAATTGCAGATCCATTGTGTACAACTTGCTATTTCTTTCAAATATGCAACGAAGTTATTGTATAGCTTCCCCCCCCAATTTTGAGATGGCTGCCATTAGACACAAGTGTGTGTGTGTGTGTGTGTGTGTGTGTGTGTGTGTGTGTGTGTGTGAGAGATTTATTTTTCTGGATGCAAACAGCATCTTCCTGCCTTCATTTGAGTACTTATAATAGTTAGAATGCCTTGGTTGCTCAAAGTTGTTCTTAAAACAGTACTGTGGTTACTGTATACAATATTCTCTTGGTTCTACTAACCCCTTTTCTTCCTTTTTTTTTGAAGACAAATTTTTATTGATATTTTTGTTTTTATATTACCAGAATTTCCTGCTATCTTTTCCTCTGAGAACTATCCTTTATAACAAAGATTTTTTTTTTAAAGCAAAAAGGAAAAGAGGAAGAAGAACAAAAAATCAGCAACACTCATCAGTATGGTGAAAAAAAAATGACAATGTATACAGTGTTTCTCATTCATAGATCTTTCTCCTGCCTCATAACCTCTGCAAAGGCTTGCTTAGGGAGAGAAAGGAGGTGTCTTCTCATACCACTTCTTTGGGGCCAAGTTTCTGTGGAATTTTGCATTATCCATTTTTAGTTGTTTTGTGGTTGTTTAAACCTTTTACATGTGATAGCCCTTTATACATTTGAAAACAGTTATCATGTACTCCTTTTACCATCTTGGTTACTCTCTTTTAGAATGTCTCTAAGCCTAATGATGTCCTTTTTAAAATATGTCCCCCAGAGCTGAGTTTCAGTTGTGATCTAATCTGGACCACAGGACTATTATTTCCCTCATTTTGGGTACCTTGGTGGATTCATAGGATCAGGTGAAGTCAAGGGAGGAAGATGGAAAAAGAAAGAAGATCTTATTACTGGGTTTAGACCCTTAACATAGGGAAAATATTCATAATAATGCTATTTGTAATAACAGAAAGCTAGAACTGAAATATGTGCCCAATGATAGGGCAATGGCTGAACAAATTATGTTATGAACAAACTGAAAAGTCATTGGGTCACAAAGAATGATGAATATGAAGAATTTAGAGGAAGTTTTGAAAATTTGTGGAAGTGGTGCAGAGTGAAGAAAGCAAAGCCAAAAGAACAATACACGGGACTGCAATAGTATAAGTACAACCAGCAGTAAAAGGCAATAAGGCTCAAGTTAAATACAGCAGACAATGTTAATATGAAATGAATAAAGTTAATACATATCTCCTTACTTTCTAGCAACAATAAGTAAACTTCAGTTATTCACAATTATTCTTTTAGTCAGTGTTGTGTAACATTTTGGGAATGTACTTGGTCAGGGGCTAGGGAAGCATCTGCTATGTTAAAATAAATTGTATTGACTAAAAAAAAAAACAAAATTAACTATTGGAAAACAATAGACCCATTAAAAAATTCAGGGCATGATGTCTTTAGGTAGCGTGAGGCTGAGAACATATCCAAGAGGTGTCACTGGTCATTCCAGATGCTACACAAAAGTCAGGTAATATGAAGACTGAGAAAAGACTAAGAGATTGAGCAGGGAAAAAATAAGTGGTGATTTTTAATCAAGAAGAAGTGGTGATTTTTAATCCAAGAATTTTCTTGGAAGTAGAGGTTGGAAGATGGGTTGCAAGGATTGAGTAGTGAATAGGTAGTGAGGAAGTAGAAATAGTAAGTATAGATTACTCCAGGTAGGAGTTGAGAAGTATTCCAAGACAATGTCTTGTGGGGATGGCAGGGTCAAGGGAATTTTTTTTTAAGTATAGGAAAGACTTGAATTTATTTGTGGTCAGTGTAGGACAAGCCAGTATATAGGCAGAGATTGAAAATTAGAGAGTGAATCAGTGACTGATTGGACAAATTCCAGAAGGAAATGAAAATATTTGTCTTGGCTGGGAGAAGGGTGTGTGAGATACGGACTAAAAGAGGAAGTGATCTATGAAGTTGTGGAATGGTTTTGAGGCATGAAGAAGGGAGAAGTGAATATATAAGCAAATATCCCTATTTTATAAATAAAGAAGCTGGGATTACTAAGAGGTCATGTGAATTACCCATAGTGGTGATTTGTGATGTCTAGGTATTATATGCCTTGAATCTGGTTTTCTGACTCCCACATCATTGCTCCATAGGGAAGGAAGGAAAGCAACAAATTATTTATTAAGCACCTGCTGTGTGCCACACTGTGCTAAAATGTTTTATAAATATTATCTCACTTGATCCTCACAACCCTGGGAGGTAGGTGCTATTATTATCTCTCTTTTATAGTGGCAGACTGAGGTTAGGTGACTTGCCTAGGATCGCACTAGTGTCTGAGACCAAATTTGAACTAGGGTCATTTTGACTCCAGACCCATTGCTCTGTCCATTGTACTATGAGCTGCCTCAACTAGACAGCAGCCAAAACAAATTAGATTGGTTGATTCACTCATGTGGTAAAACTTGTAGCTCTATGCAGGCACAGCCTGCATAGTTAGTAAACCCTGATTATGGCATAGTAGAAAGAGAACATTGGAGCTATAGTCAGAAGATTCAGATTCAAATATTGGTTCTAATATATATTTAATCTATGACCTTGGGCAAGTTACATAATCATTGGGCCTCTGTTTACTCATCTGTAAAGTGGGTTATGTTAGATAATCTCAAAAGACCTTTCTGGTTTCAAGTCCTCTGATTTATTTGTCTTTGGATCTAACCAAACTTTCCAACTCTGAGATTCTGTGATTTGCAGTATTAAGATATAGAGCTTAGTTCACAGGTTTAATTTAATTTTTTACCCTTTTTAAAAGCTTTTCTTTTTTGGGGAATTTGTAACAAAATTCAGAACTTAAGCACCAAATAAAATGAGCATTTTTCTATATACATAGTAGAACAGAGAAAGAGGATTGTACATGAAGCTATTATGTAGACTTAATTTTTTAAAAGTATGTAAAAAGTCATGTAACTTTCAAAGCTGTTCTATTTGTCTTTTTCCTTTTGGTCTTCTTTCTTTTCTTTTTTTCTTTTTGGTGAGGCACTTGGGGTAAGTGACTTGTCCAGCCAGGGTCACACAGCTAGTAAGTGTCAAGTGTCTGAAGTTGGATTTGAACTCAGGTCCTCCTGACTCCAAGGCCGCAGCTCTATCCATTGCGCCATCTAGCTGCCCCCTTTCTTTTCTTTTTTCTTTTCTTTTCTTTTCTTTTCTTTTCTTTTCTTTGCAATTCATGTTGTTGCTCTTTTTGTTCAGTTGTTTCAGTCGTGTCTGACCCTTTGTGACTCCATTTGGGGTTTTCTTGGCAAAGATACTGGAGTGGTTTACTATTTCCTTCTCCAGCAAATTCTGCAGATGAGGAAACTGAGACAAACAGGGTCAGGTGACTTTCACAGGATCACACAGCTAGTCGGTGTCTGAGACCAGTGTCTGAGCTTTGAACTCAGGAAGATGAGTCTTTCTGACTCCAGGCCTGGCACTCTATCCACTGAGCCACCTAGCTGCCTCTAGGTGCAGTTCACAGGTTTTTAAAAAAATTCTCCTCCATGAAACTCTTTCTTTTAACACAGAGGAAAAGTTAAGCAAATTTGTCATTTATTGTTGTTATAAAACTTTTAATATCTTAAAGTATTTGAATGATCTTTTTGCTTTTATATCCCTTTTATTTCTGAATATATCCCTCCTCTATCCCCTAACCTGTGAGAGCCATGCCTTGTAACAGAATAAAAAAACAGAACAAGAAGTTCAGCATAACCAGCCAATTCATCACCTAAGTCTGATAAACAGAGAAGTTACGTGACATACACTAGGTCATTAAGCAGTGGAGGTGGAACTTGCACTGTGGTCTTTTGATTTCTAATTCAATGCTCTTTCTGCTCCGTTAGGCTACCTCTCTACATTATATATATTGTAAGAAGTATGACCTGGCTAAAAGTTGTAAATGGCACTTTAACATTTTTAAAAAATGTCTGTTTTCTCTTTAGTGTTCACCTGTGTACTTCTTTCACATTTGAAGATGGTGAAGCTGGATATTCACACTTTGGCTCATCACCTTAAGCAGGAACGACTCTATGTGAATTCGGAGAAACAGCTGATCCAGAGGCTAAATGCAGATGTGCTTAAGACTGCTGAAAAGTTGTACCGAACAGCATGGATTGCCAAGCAGCAGAGAATTAACTTGGACAGGCTTATCATAACAAGGTATAAATGTATTTGAGCTTTTAACATTTATGACACACAGTAATTCTCTTCTACTTCTGAATTGCATGGCATACCAAATGAATGCTCCAGATATGTCACTGATATTTTGTCAGTATCAGGAGGGTTCCAGCAGAACTGGTTGTTCCACAACAGCCTAGAACTTGTGCCCTTCTGTTTTACTCTCCCCTGGAGACTTGAGCCATTGCTGTAACACACATGCTTGATTCATCATAGATTAAAATTGCTCACAGACCATGGAGAGTGGAATTTTCAGATATTGGCATTTATACTGTCAGATTAAAAAATGACCCTTTTTGTACATTTTGAGATGTTTACCTCTCCTTCAGTACTTGCTGTGTGGGATTTTTGCTTGTTGGCAAGTTTATGTGTTCTGCTTTGTATGTAGGAATGTTCCTTTTTTGATGTTCAACTAGTTCAGAATTAAAAGAAATAACAATAAAAAACCAGCAATAAAAGTTCATATGGACCTAGTTTGAACTGTCTCTTTCAATTTTTAAGTACACATAGCAGAATGAATAATCTTACTTTTCATAAGTGTTAGTTAATGTCCAGTGTTATATTAGGCAACTAATAAAATGCTTGTAGGTTGACTAATGATTGATTTAAATTCAGCTAATATCGGAGAGAACACTTATAACGAAGTTGCTGCCAGTGCTCCGTACTCTTTCTTTTTAAATCACACTTGATAACATGCAAGTTCCACCCCACCACTGTTGGGTGTATGATCTTACTGTGTATGATCTTACTGATTCAATTGCTCAAAGGCTTAAATGGTTTAACAACTTGAGATGATATTCCTTGATAAATGAAAGCATTATTCACCTATTCTAATGAGATTTGTTGTGTATTTTATGTGTGTCTTTTAGTGCTGAAGCTTCTCCTGCTGAATGTTGCCAACATGCCAAGATCTTGGAAGATACACAGTTTGTTGATGGATATAAGCAGCTGGGATTTCAAGAGACTTATTATGGAGAATTCTTAAATAGGTTAAGGGAAAACCCTCGACTCATTGCCTCCTCTTTGGTTGCTGGAGAAAAACTGAACCAGGATAACACTCAGAGTGTTATCCACACAGTTTTTACCTCTCTCTATGGCAACTGTATCATGCAAGAAGATGAGAGCTACCTTCTTCAGGTTTTGCGATATCTGATTGAATTTGAACTCAAAGAAAGTGACAACCCTAGGCGTCTTTTGAGGAGAGGAACTTGTGCATTCAGCATTTTATTCAAGCTATTTTCTGAAGGACTCTTTTCTGCCAAACTGTTCCTCACAGCAACATTACATGAGCCAATCATGCAGTTGCTGGTTGAAGATGAAGACCATCTGGAAACAGATCCAAATAAGTTGATTGAGAGGTTCTCTCCATCCCAGCAGGAAAAGCTTTTTGGAGAGAGAGGTTCAGATAGGTTCAGACAAAAGGTCCAAGAGATGGTGGACTTGAATGAATCCAAACTAGTGGCTTTGGTGAACAAATTTATTGGCTATCTCAAGCAGAATACATACTGCTTTCCCCATAGTTTGCGGTGGATTGTATCACAAATGTATAAGACACTTTCCTGTGTAGATCGGCTTGATGTAGGGGAAGTGAGGGCAATGTGTACTGATCTCCTCTTGGCCTGCTTCATTTGCCCTGCAATTGTCAACCCAGAACAGTATGGAATTATTTCTGATGCTCCCATAAATGAGGTGGCAAGATTTAATTTGATGCAGGTATGTATTTTCTGATAATTTTAATAAGACATGTGGTCTTACGTGGATTGATTTTTGACATTATTATTTCTAAGAATTATGAAAAAATTATAATGACAACTACTGATATTTCTGTAGTGCTTTACATATATTATCATTTACTGTCCACCCTAGCCCTATATGGTACATAGCTGACTAGCATTTATGCAGTGCTTTAAGGTCTTCAAAGTGCTTTACAGATATTTTCTTGTTTTATTCTCACAACAACTCTGGGAGATAGGTGCTATCATTATCCTTATTTTACACATAAGGAAACTGAGGCATACAGGCTGAGTGACTTGTCCAGGGTTACACAAATACTAAGTGTCTCTGGTTGGATTTGAAAACTGGTCTTTTTGACTTCAAGTCTATACTCTAACCATTAAAATAATAGGTAGCTTTTATATATGGTGTTTTAAGGTTTGCAAAGCTCTGCACATAAATTACCTCATTTGACTCTCACAGCAACCCTTTGAAATAGGTGCTGTTATTATCCTCATTTGACAGATGAAGAAACAGTTCAAGAGAAATTAAATGACCGCATCTGTTAAGTGTCTGAGGCGGTCACATAAGTGGAAGAGCTCAGAAATAGAGCACAGGTCTTCTACTTTCAAATCTGGTTGTTTTTTCCCCTTATTATGTTGTGATATAGGAAATCAGTACAATTTATTTCGCAATATTCTGAGGTACAATATTATCTCTTGTCATCTCTTTTCCTTAAATTTTATCCCAGTTGATTATTTATTATATTTTAGAAGAGCTGTGATTTCATCAGTGTAGTTAACTGCCATCACTATAGGTCTTGATCTGGCTTCAAATACTGGCTCTTGACACTTAGTAAATGTTAACCTCTTTGGGCAAGTCATTAACTTCTCTGGACCTCATTTTGCTCATCTGTAAAAGGAGAGGATTGGAGTAGATGACTTCTGAGGTCCTTTCTAGCTCTGAATTTTTGATCCTGGGTTATTATGTCCTGTGTGATAAGATACTGTCCAGATCTCACATTCTTTGTTCTCCTGTAGGATCTTCCAACTCTAAAATTCTGTGACTTAGATCATTATCACAATAGACTATCCCCTATTGTGAAAAACTATCCAGGTTGCCTTCCTGGAAACGCTATACCTTATCATTGTTCTTACACTGTGACACTTAGACCTGGGCAAATTACTCTGTGTGTGGTCTGACAAGAGATTTGTGTATAAGGGAAGAGCCAGGGCGGTTGTACCTCTATTAATGTATCCTAAGGATATATTAAATTTTTTTTGTTGCTATATCATATCATCGATTAATTAAGTTTCCAGTATACTTTTTTTTTTAGGTAAACTGTCATCTCATCATTCCTTTCTTATCATGTTCTTGTGAAATTGATATTTTTAAAAAATTCTTAAAAAATTTCTTAAGCTTATTATTTGTTTTTAACATTCTTTTCTTTTTTAAATTTTGAGTTCCAAAATCTCTTCCTCGCCTTCACCCTTCCCCCATACTCTGAGGTGAGCAATATGATATTGACTATATATGTGAACTTATGTACAACATTTCCATATTAGCCATATTTTTTAAAAAGTGAGAAAAATACAGAAAGTGAGAAAATTATATTTCAGTTTGCACTCAGAGTTTATTAGTTCTCTTTCTGAAGGAGCATATAAGTCATTTGGAATTGTCTTGGATCATTGTATTGATCTGAGTAGCCAAGTCTTTCGAAATTGATCGTCATTACAACTTTGCTTTTACCGTGCACAATGATCTCCTGGTTCTTCTCACCTCACTTTGCATCAGTTTGTGTCAGTCATGTTTTTCTGAAATCACCAACTTCATGGTTTCCTACCACAAAATATTACTCCTTCACAATCAATATACCATGACTTATTCAGCCATTCCCTAATTGATTGGTATCCCCAAAATTTCCAGTTCTTTGTCACCACAAAAAGAGCTACTATAAATATTTTTGTACATACAGGTCCTTTTCCTTTTTCTTTGATCTCTTTGGGATACAGACCTAGTAGTGTTATTGTTGGGTCGAAGGGTATATGCACAGTTTTAGTATCTTTTTGGGCCTAGTTCCAAATTGTTCACCAGAATGATTAGACCAGTTTACTATTCCACCAACATTTCATTAGTATACCTTTTTTCCCCTCATCACCTCTAGTATTTGTCATTCTTATAGGTATGAGGTAGTACCTCAGAGTTGTTTTAATTTTCGTTTCTCTCATCAATAGTAATTTAGAGCATTTTTTCATATGATTATAGATAGCTTTGATTTCTACTTCTGAAAAGTGCCTGTTCATATCCTTTGACAATTTATCCATTGGGGAATGATTCGTAGTCTTATGGATTTGACTTAGTTCTCTTTATATATTTGAGAAATGAGGACTTTATCAGAGACACTTGCTGTGAAAAATTTTGATTCATTGTTTATGGTACCTTTTAGCAAAGTGTAGTTTACCTGATTATCCTTTTTAATTAGGTATATTGTTGCTTTTGTTTTGTCTGAGATCATGATTGCTAGTCCTGCCTTTTTTAAAAGTTCAGCTGAAGCATATTAGATTCTGCTTTAGCCCTTTATTTTAAATCTATTAGTGTCTTTCTTTTTCAGCTGTACCTCTTGTAAACACCATATTGTTAGATTCTGGTTTCTAATCTGTTCTGCTATTTGCTTCCATTTTGTGGGTGAACTCATCTCATTCACATTCACAGTTAGAATTACTAACTGTGAATTTCCCTCCATCTCATTTTCTTCTGTTTCTTTACTCTCTCTTTTTTTCTTGTCTCTCCTCAAAAGTCTGTTTATTAACCCCTGTCTCTCTTAATCTGTCCTCCCTTTTATCATTCTTCCCCTTCCCCCTTTCTCTTATCCCCTTCCCTTCTTAGTTCCATATTGGGTAAGTTAGACTTCTATACACAACTGAGTGTATATACTTCCCTTCTTGAACTAATTCCAATGAGTGTGAGGTTCATGTCTTGCCTGCCCCCTCTCCCTTTTCCTCTACCCTGTAAAAGGTCTTCCTTATGTGCTACTTTTATGTAAGAAAATTTTCCCTATTCCACTTATCCCTTCCCCTTCTTCTAGTGCATCCCTGTTTCTCACCCTTTCATTTTATTTAGGAGATCTTTCCAACATAATCAACTCACATCCATGCCATCTGTCTGTGTAAACTTATTTTAAGTGCCCTAATAATGATAAAGTTCTTAGGAATTACATGTACTATCTTCCCTTATAGGAATGTAAACAATTTAACCTTTTTAAGTCCCTTATCAGTTCTCACTCATTTTTTTTCTGCTTCTCTTGAGTCCTGTGTTTGAATGTCTGATTTTCTATTTAGCTCTGTGCTTTTCACCAGGAATGCTTGAAAGTCCTCTATTTCTTTCTTTTTAAAAAATTTTTATTTTAGACAAATACTAAAACTTGATACATAATAAAAAAAGAAAAAGAAATGTTATAAACTTAAATATAAAATAAGAAAAAACAAAAAAGTCATGTGTACAGTAGAACATAGGAGAGGATTCAAAATATATAGCAATAACTTTTCATTTTGAGAAAGTCTATATATTAAATACTGTGCATTATGTTGAAAGCTGTCCATCTTTTCTTTGCTTCCTTGTAGGTTTTCTTTTGTTCTCTGCTGTACACTTTTTACTTTGTTCTTTTTTTCCCCCTCTCTCCCCCCTACCCACTACCCCAAGGCTATAATTGAGCATTGGATATATTTATATATATGTATGTGTATATATATGTATATATACACACACTTATACATACTTATGCATACATACATACATACATAAACATATATTTTCCTTAAGAGATTCTAGTCCTTACCTTTGTGTTTGTGCATATCTCTTTTTTCCTATTTCTCTTTACTCTACCTTATTTCTACCTGCTACCTTATCCTCCTATTACTTAACCTACCCCTACTCCAACAGTCCCTCCCTTATTCTCCCATTCCCCTAAGTCTAAACCCCTTTCTAGATCCCCCTTTTAACCTATTCCCACACCATCCTCTCTAAAGATTCCTCCTTTATCTCTCCCCCTTCCTATCCCTTTAGAGTTTTATTTCTTTCTAAATTTAGAAGATTTTTATACTCTTCTAAATGTATATGTATTTTCCCCTCTTAAACTCATTCCCAATGAGAGTAGGTTTCCAGAACTAACAGCCCCTCTCCCCTAATTCCTTTGTATTGGTTCTTCCTCTTGTATCTCATTTGTAAAAGATGATTACTCTTTTAGGTGTACTTGAGTGGTTTTACTTGTTGAAGTCATATCATATATCATACTCAGGTCTACTCCAGTCTTCCTTTCATAATTAGACATAGGTTTACATTTTTTCATACATAAAAGGTAAACTTTCTATCCTTATTTAATCTCTTATAATTGGTCGTTGGTATGTACCTTATATTACTCTTGGCTCTTGTATATTAAGTCTTCTATTGAGTTCAGGTTTTTTTTTTTTTTTTTTTTTTTAAACAAAAACCTGAAAGGGGCAGCTAGGTGGTGCAGTGAATAGAGCTCCAGGTTGGAGTCAGAAAGACCTGAGTTCAAATCTGGCCTCAGATACATAACACTAGCTCTGCAACCCTGGACAAGTCACTTAACCCCATTGCCTAGCGAAAAAACAAACAAACAAAAAAACCCCAAAGACCTGAAAGTTTAACAATTGATCAAACATCCATTTTTTTTTTCATTTAGAATTATACTTAGCTTTGCTGGGTATGATATTTTTGGCTGAAAGCCCAGTACTTTTGCTCTTTGATATATAGTGTTCTAAGATCTGCGATCTTTTAGTGTTGCCACTGCTAGGTCTTGTGTGATTCTAATTGTGGTACCACTGTATGTAAATTGTTTTTTTCTTGTTGCTTGTAATATTTTGTTCTTAATGTGGGAATTTTGGAAATTGAGTATAATATTCTTGTAAGTTTTCCTCATGGGATCTCTTATAGGTGGTGATCAGTGAATTTTTTTCTATTTCTACTTTCCTCTCGTTCTAATGCTTCAGGACTATTTTCTTTAATTATTTCTTGTATTATTGTATCAAGATTCTTTTTTTGATCAGAACTTTCAGGTAGTCCAATTATTCTTATGTTTTCTTTTTTTGATCTGTTTTCTAAATCTGTTGTTTTTCTTATGAAATGTTTCACATTCTCTTTTATTTTTTCATTCTTTGTATTTTGATTTTTCATTTCTTCATCTCTTACAACTTCACTGGTTTCCCCTTGCTCAATTTTGATTTTCAGGCAGTCATTTTCTTCCTTAAGATGCTGGATCTCTGTTTCTGATTGATTGACATTCTTTTCATAATCCTCTTGTTTTTCTTGTATTATTCTTATTTTTCTTTTTAGTTTTTTCTCAATCTCTCTCATTTGATTTTTAAAGTCTTTTTTAAGTTCTTCACTAAATTCTTTTTGGGCAGGTGGCCATTTGACATTACTCTTTGGGGTAGAAGAGGGTTTCTTTGCTTCAGTATCCTCTGAAGATGAACCCAGATTTTCTCTATTCCCGTAGTAGCTCTTTATGGTTGGATTCTTTCTCCTTTGTCTATGCATTTTTTTGGGGTAATAGTTTAGTTTTTATAATCACTTATAGTCCTGGGGTATAGAGGATGGTGCCTCTGGCCTCTGATCCTCTTCAGTTCTCCCTTCTGACCTTGAACTCAAACCAGGAACTCCAGCCCCCTGTAAGTGCCCACAGCCAGTGGGGTCCCTGCCCCACTGCTTTTGCATTTACCAGGCATGTGCTGGTTCCTTCTCGCTCCCACTGTGTCTCCACAGCACAGCTGGGTCTGGCATTGCCCATCAGCAGAGGTTCCCTCAATTCTGATCTGGGGATTTCCCCCAGGTCAGACACCCAACTCCCCTCACTGTCCCTGGGTAAAAGTTCTTGTAGCTGGCGAGGCAGCCTCTCAAACCAGCTAACTCCAGGGCTTGCTGCTTGTTGTTAAAGTGGACCATAGCCTGGAGGTGTTAATTTCTTCCTGGGATTTTTCTTCAGATCTTCTCTAATTGTCTCAAGAGGACCCCTCTTTTCCGCCTACTCTTATTTGTTTTCAGGGATCTAAGTTTGCCCAGAGGTGCTACTTTTATCTCTTTTGTAGAGGAAAATTTTGAGAGCTTGAAATTTTCTGACCTACTTTTCCATTTTTCCAGAATCCTTTCCTGAAAGTCCTCTATTTCATTAAATATCCATTTTTCCCCCTGCAGGATTATACTCAATTTTGCTGGGAGGTGATGCTTGGTTGTAATCTTAGCTCCTTTGCCTTCCAGAATATTGTATTCCAAGTCCTCTGCTCCTTTAACTTTTTTTTTTTGTGTGTGTGTATGTGAGGCAATCGGGATTAAGTGACTTGCCTCGGGGTCACCTAGCTAATAAGTTTCAAGAGTCTGAGATCAGATTTAAACTCAGGTCCTCCTGACTCCAAGGTCTGAGCACTATCTACTGCGCCACCTAGCTGCGCCTGCTTCTTTAACTTGGAAACTACTAAATCTTGTGTAATCCTGACTGTGGCTCTATAATATTTGAATTTTTTTTTTTGTTTTTTTTTCCTGACTGCTTGAAGTATTTTCTTTTTGTTCTTTGGTCTGGAATTTGGCTCTAATATTCCTGGGAATTTTTCTTTTGGGATCTCTTTCAGTATGCTCTGAAGATGAACCCAGATCTTCTCTATTCCCATAGTAGCTCTCTGTGGTTGGATTCTTTCTCCTTTGTCTATGCATTTTTTTGGTAATAGTTTAGTTTTAATAATCACTTATAGTCCTGGGGTATTTCTGGATTCTTTCTCCTTTGAGTTGCAGGAGGTGATTAGAAGATTCTTTCAATTTCTATTTTATTCTCTGGATCTAAGATATTGGGGCAGTTTTCCTTTATAATTTCTTTAAATATGATAACTAGGCTCTTTCTTTGATCATGACTTTCAGATAGTCTTAATAATTCTTAAATTTTCTCATCTAATCTTAAATTTTCTCTCCTTGATCTATTTTCTAGGTCACTTATTTTTCCAATGAGACGTTTCATATTTTCTTTGATTTTTTCATTCTTTTGACTTAGTGTTATTGTTTCTTGATGTCTCATGGAGTCATTAGCTTCCAGTTGCCCCATTCTAATTTTTAAAGAATTATTTTCTTCATTGAGCTTTTGTACCTCTTTTCCCATTTGGCTTATTCTGCTTTTTAAGGAGTTCTTCAGTGGATTTTTGTGCTTCTTTTACCAAGATGTTAGTTCTCTTTTCATAATTTTCTTGCGTCACTTTGATTTCTTTTCCCAATTTTTCTTCTACCACTCATCTTTCTTTAACTCTTCCTGGAATTATTATTGGGCTTGTGTCCAATTAGCATTTTTCTTTGAAGCTTTTTTAATAGTTATTTTCACATTGTTGTCTTCTGAGGTTATGTCATGGTCTTCCCTGCCCCCTTAGTAGCTTTTTAATGGTCAAATTCTTTTTTTGTTGTTTGCTCATTTTTCTAGTCTGTTTCTTGACTTTGAACTTTATGTTAACATTGGGTTCTGCTCGCCTGGGGATGGTGAGACCCTGTCCCAAGCTTCAGCCTTTTTCCTGTTGCTGTTTTCAGAGCTATCTCTAGAAGTTTGAAAGTTTTTGGTGCTTCCAAAGTGGTATGATCTTGGGAGAGGTATGGTCACTGATCTCCTGGTCTGTGTTCTAGTCTTTGTCTAGGAAGGGCCCTTTTTCCCTTGTAGCCACAAGCACCAGCACTTTTGACTTCTCTTTGCCTTAGAACTGGGACTAGGGCCCCTGCTGCCTTGTGACCAACCCCCAATGCTCCTCTCCACCCTGGAACTGCAACCCAGAACTGCATATGGGCAACAGTATTGCCAGTCAGTGTCAGCTGTGTACCTAGTACCAGGATAGGGTGCCCTATAATATATTATTGTCAAGTTGTCCAAGCCTCTTAACATCTCTGGGCCAAGAGTTTCTGAAAGTGCTGCTGTTTCTGCCACGTTGTACAAGCTTTGGACAAGCTTCTACCCCCAGTGTTACAAACTTTTCATGTGAACTTCCTACAAACTTCTTAGGCAAAAAAAAAGTCACTCTGACCTTTTGTTGGCTGTATTCCAAAATTTGATTTGAAGCATTATTTTAAAGTTGTTTGGAGGGGAATGTTGAGAGAGTTCATCTGGGTTTCCTCTAATCCGCCATTTTGGTTCCAAGATATTTTCTCTGAAATTGATATTTTTGAACTCAAGTCTAAGACTTTAATTTACTTTTAATTGATTCAGATGTGATGCTCCAGTTTATCATTATCTTCTTTTTAATCAAGGCTTTATCATACAGTATGTTAGCCTTTCTTATCTTCATTTGTCATCTTCACACTTTATGAGCGTGTCACCTGTGCCTTTATTCTGTTCTTAGATAAAAATGTTCAAAAGCAAAGGGCCACACACAGATCTCTGGTGCATTCCACCAAAGACCTGTCAAGTTGACTTCAATTCACAGTCAATGTATAGGCATTTCTAATTCCATTTTCTTAATTTTCCTTTATAAAGGTTTGTATTTCTTTATGTCTTTTATTTGTCACAAGGTCATAGGTCATAAAATTTAGAGTTGAAAGGCACCTTAGAGATAATTTAATCCAACTTTCTTATTTTATATGTGAGAAAACTATGGCGAAGATATGATTAGTGGCTTGTCTAAGGTCACACAACTGGTGATTTGCCAGTTTAGATCCATTAGTGGATAATCTTTTGTTATAAAATATATATCCCTAATATTGTTTCTAATTGCAGGTTGGCCGCCTTTTACAGCAGCTAGCAATGACTGGCTCTGAGGATGGAGATCCTCGAGCAAAGAGCAGCCTTGGTAAATTTGACAAAGTAAGAATAAATGTGGATGTTATTATTTTTAGGAGTCTGAGAAGTCTCATTTGACATTTAATCCTTTGATTTTATAAGTTATTTTTGTAGTAAATGATTCTCTTATTTGTATCTGATCTAGGTTATATTTAGATGTTAGTACTACTGATAGAAAAGATCCTTAATGGAAAAGATCACTTTAAAAAGTTTCTTGCTCTTCTATGTAAAAAGAGTTAAATTTATTCAGTTTAAGGAAGATAATGGATTCATAAAAGTGGTCTTTATAAAACTTTTCTTTTATATAAAAGAACCTGATTTATGAAAAGGAAATTACCATTTTATTGTATATAGGAAGGTTAAGCACAAATAATAGCGTAACTTACATATGTTTCATATGTTGACACATGACATTTTTTAGTTTTTTTATAAACCATTTGAAGAAGCACCTTTTGTGCCATTACTCTAAGTATTGTTTTATAATTATGGTGTTAGTATTTAACTGAGCTCTTTTCTTCTGTCAACAGAGTTGTGTTGCTGCTTTCCTTGATGTTGTAATTGGTGGCCGGGCAGTAGAGACTCCCCCAATGTCTTCAGTTAACCTTCTAGAAGGGTTGAGTAGAACTGTGGTGTATATGACCTACAGCCAGCTCATCACTCTGGTAATAGCTTTGTTCTTTGTTGGAACTTCTTGTGGTATCATGTTTTTGAAATACTTTATAATATAATTACAAACCTTATGAAATTTAGCTTAATTCATCTAGTGTTTATTTAATGTCTCCTCTGTGCTGGAAACTGGTGAGTCAAAGATAGTACAGATAAATCACTTCCCTCAAGAATATTACCTTCTATTGTGGGAGAGATTAACACGTTGTATACCATTAAGTAAACACACAAATAAGTACCAAGTAATTTCAAGATGGAGAGCCCACTGAAAACTGGGCAGGGAGAAGTCGGGGGTAGAAGACATCAGAGAAAGCCCAAAGTAGAAGATGGCATTGGAGTTGTGCTTTGAACGAAGTGAGAGAGTTTACGAGACAGAGGTGAGGAGAAGAAGTCCACACTCCAGATATGTGCAAAAGGACAGGATGGAATGTTGTGTCTGTGGAACAGTGAGGAGACCAGTTTGAGTGGAATAGAGAGCATATGAAAGGGAGTAATGATAAATAAGATTGGGAAGGTAGGCAGGAGCCAGATTATGGAGGGTTTTAGATGCCATACTGAGGAATTGGTATTTTATCATAGAAGCAATAGGGGGCTATTGAAGATTTTTGAGTGGATTTGAGAGGTGTTCAGATAGTTAACTATTCTAATGAATATTAATACTAGCTCCTTCTAGCAGAAGTGTTATATAATGAATAGAGAGTAGACTTTGGAATTAGGAAGACCTGGGTTCAAGTTATACTTCTGATACTTATTGACTACATTACCCTGGACAAGTCAGTTAACTTTCTTGGTGCCTTAGGCAACTCTATGAAGCTGTGAATTGCAGAGGGGGTGCCTTTCTTCATTAGTAAAGGGAGTTTTTGTCCTAGGGTTTTCCCATACTTATGAGATTATAAGTCCCGTCCAAGAAATAATTCATTTTTTAAAAAAGTAAATGGGCATAGGTAATTATAGGAATCGTCCAGTCGATATCCTTTATTGATTCCATGAAAAGACAGTTTAAGATCAATGTCCTAGCAGTTTTAGAACTTTTTGTTCCAAAAAAGTCAGAGAGGTGAGTAATGCATAATATAATAGGACTTAATTATGGTATGCTTTTAACTCATACAAGGGAAGGCCCAAGATTTAGAATGAAATGCTAGAGGAGTGGAGAAATACAGATTAAGGGTGAAGGATACATTCCTCTTCATCTTCAGAGAGGAGAGGTCAGATACAACTTTTTCATTTGCCAAAGATCAGTGTGTGTTTGTGTTGGTGGGGGAAGTTTGTGGAGCAGGTCATGTCAGGTGCATGGTTTTCAGACTAGGACCATAAGTTTTACAAGATAGGGAGAGGTTATCACTCATGTGTGTCTGGTCACTTTCCCACCTCTGATTTCACAGGCAAGGAGAGACAAAGGATTGGGCAGTGAATTAAATCAAGAAAGCAAGCATTTAGTATGGAAGTTGTGAGAGAGGATGGGTGGAAGGGGTTAGATGTTAGATATCAGAAAGGGACTATTCCTGACCAGAGGCAGCTTGCTACAAGTAAGCCTTAATGTGTTTTTTTTTTGTTTTGTTTTGGTGAGGCAATCGGAGTTAAGTGACTTGCCCGGGGTCACACAGCTAGGAAGAGTCAAGTGTCTGAGGACAGATTTGAACTCAGGTCCTCCTGATTCCAGGGCCGGTGCTCTATCCACTGTGCCACCTAGCTGCCCCCTTAATGAGTTTTGAAGATAAGTTTTTTGGATTGTCAAGGAAGTGTCATTAGCTATTATTTTGTATCTCAGGTTCTCAGCAGAAAGATGTTATAGCAGGATTTTGAGACATTGTAGTGTGGTTTGGTTATAGTGTATTAATGACTTTATTGCAAAATGGTCTTAGTGGGGACAGTGTTTTATAGTTTATATGGTTGTGTGTGTGTGAAAAAGAAGCTAGGTATTAGAACACTGACTAAGGACTTATTTTCTTTGCAGGTTGGTTTTATGAAAAATGTCATGTTGGGTGACCAACTGAGAGAAGATCGAATGGCTCTTGAAAACTTGTTGGCAAACCTACCCCAGGCCAAGCCAGGAAAAAGTAACAGTTTGGAAATGACTTCGTATAATACTCCTCAGTTGTCTCCTGCAGCTACTCCAGCTAATAAAAAAAATCGCTTACCCTTAGGTGAGTATAGGTTAGTGAGGAACTGCATCTAGCCCAGCTTTGTTCTAACTTCAGGTCAGTTCCACAGACATTTATTGAGCATCTTCTTTGTTGGAAGTCACTATGCTTGGTGTTTGTGGCATTGTATATACAAAATGGTTATCATCAAATGCAGGGTTGGGAAATAGGTGGTCCTTTAGGTCCTCAAGTGTGGTCCTTTGACTGAATCCAAACTTCACCGAACAAATCTCTTTAATAAAAGGATTTGTTCTGTAAAACTTAGACTCAGTCAAAAGGCCATACCTAAGGACCTAGAGGGCCACATGTGACCTCAAGGCTGCTGTTTCCCCACCCCTGGTGTAGTAGGTAGCTTGTAACTAACTCATTTAGGCATTCCCTGACCAATTGTACTTATTAATTATAACAAAATCCTATTGTGATGTTGTAAAATCCCATTATATAGTTTTGTAGTTATCCAGTATAGAGGTTAAGCATTTGAACCTCATTGTCCTTAAGTCACCTGAGTGACAGTGTTTCCTGTCCTCCTTTTAATATTACTCCTCTGGAACTAATGGTCCTTAATTGTTTTGCTCACTATTTCTTTTTTGCTAAACCAGTTAACAGTGTTAGGTGGGATTATACCTGAAACTAAAATAGTAGATGGTAAGGTATGACAATGTTTTTATTTAGTATTTCTTCTTTAGCTGTTGTCTTTGCTATAGCTGTGGTGTAGTGAAAAGAACTCTGATTCTGGAGTCAGAAAAGAGTAGTTTGCCATAAGGTTTGGCGGATACAGATAAGCTGGAACGTCTTTAAGTATGGTTCTCCTTGGGGCTTTATGTATCTGCAGTCCAAGGCTAACCTAGCTAAGGATGAAGGACCTCCTCTCTGAAGTTCAGAAAGTTGGCCTCTAGATGATAAATGTTTTGTTTGCTTACTTTTGGTCTTATCACCTTGTCCACCATGGGGTGGACAGCTGTTATCTGTGTTGGTAGAGGGAAAGGCCATACTGATGAAATCTGATTTTCTGAGGCCGAAAGTAAAATGACAGTTCATTCTAAAGCAGCTCATTTATTGAATAATGTCTTAGTATTTCATTTTGACTTTTATTCTAATTCTGGCCAATTCAGGGCTTTGCTGTGTTGAATCTTAGGAATATTAGTGTGTTAATTCTTTTTAGTAACTAATATCATCATGTGATCTTTCAAATTAAATAATATTAGTAATAGTAATACTTCAGAGAACTCTGATTTCATTGGTGTGAGTTTTCCTTCTACTGATGTAGATCTTAACCTCAGCAGATTTAGTGGATTGTTTTCTTGAGTCACTATGGTTGTGGGGGAAAAAATCATCTCCTGATGGCCAGTCTTCTGGTAATAGGCCTCACCATGGTAGATACAAGTCTGTTATCGATCCCATTTTTTGACTCCTTCCAAGTGGTTTGGCCTTGCTGGAGCTTGTGTTGACATCAGCATGCAAGTTGCTGGAAGCATTAGAAAATTACTGAAGTAGAATAATAGTAATGATTGCTTATGTGTATAGTGTTTAATCGTTTGTGTAGTGCATATGTTATATTTTATAAATGAAAATGAGTCTGTGATTTGCCTAATGTCATGCATATAGTATAACTAAATAATGGAACTTCTATTATCTAAATGAATCACCTACTTCTTCTGCTATATTGTTATATTGCATTTGTACTTTATGTGAGATTAAAATATCAAGGGCTTCTATTCTTTAAAAAGGAAGAAAGAAATGATGTTTATTAATTTGGAGTTATTCATGTCCATAGCTTATTTCAGTGTAACAGCTTTCTCTTGTTATACTCTGAAACTATTTTAGGGTTAAAACTAATGGAAAATAATTTTTAAATGTTTCCCCATAATTCTTTTATGAAATTGATACCAGATCATTGCGTTTTATTTCACATTTCTAAAAATGTTTCTGTTGTTCAAAGGGTTGATTTTCTTTCTGTTTAATGCTGTCGAACCCCAGGACAACAGTTAGCAGCCATCACTGCATGGGATCCCTCAGCCACCAATCTCACAGCTCACATTACTCTAGTAACCCCATTTGGTGGGTAATAGGCTCTCTTTCTTCTACTTTAAAAAATTATTTCACAAATTATGCTTCATGTGCATGTCTTACTTGTTTTGTGTAAATGGGTGTTTGAGATTTAGATATTTTAAGGTCCTTGGGGCATTTGTCCCTTAAAATTCACACATGTGGTCTAAGGAATGTATATAATTTGAATTCTTTTTTCTATGTCATTGTATTTATTTTGCACCTTTGTGAAATAAGTAACCAAAGGAGAATTTGCCTTCTTTTATAGTACAAGTTTTTATTTGTTAATATGTCAAGATTTATCTTTTACTTATAAAATAATACGATACTGTCTTATGATATTTATCAATTGTGACACAGTACATGTAAGAGAAACAGGGTTTACTTAGATAATTAAGTCAATTTTTGTAATATTCTTGTACACTGAATGTTGACATAGGCTATGTGTTATGCTTTCTTGTAAATTGAAATACAATTAGGGTTTGCTTTGTTAATTAAGTACTCTGAATTTTGAAATAGAAAGTGCTTTTTTTTATCCCCTTAATCAAGCTTTACACTTAAAGCATTTCACAGAATTTCAGAGCTGGAAAGGACCTCAGAGATCATCTACTTCAACCTGTACTTAATCAGAAATCTTTTCTACAACATTCCTAATAAGAGGTCATCTGGAGTTTTGCTTGAAAATGAATCCACTATTTCCAGAGATAGCCCACTCAGATTTTGAATAGCTCTCTTTGTTAGGAAGGTGTTCTTTAAATGGAGCCAAAAATCTGTCTCTCTGCAGCTTGCATTTTGCTACTAGTTCATCTTTTTAGAGTGGAGATGAGCCAGTAGAATCCCTTTTCCATGTGACAAAAAAGAGTGTATTTAATTTTGTCAATATTTAATTCTAAAAGGTGGCAATATAATAAGTTAGTTTATTTTTATTTCCATTCCCTTCCATCTTATCCTGGAAGTAAGGTGGCTTTTGATCAAAGGGATATTGGAAAACCTTTGTTTTTCCAATTGTCTATGTTTCATTGTACTATATATTAGGCATTGGAAGAGGAGTTTTTGTTTGTTTACAGTTAATACTTATGTTTAATTTTATGGTTCACTGAAAGAAGGTTGACCATTATCTTAGGAAGAGTAGAGTTCATAAGTTTGGCATCTGATATCCTCTAAAACTTCTTTTGAGGTCAGTGAATTTCACATCACCAAAGATAGGCAGAGGATAGGTGACCATATTTGTTAATGATGTGGTAAAGGTTGGACTAGATGACTTCTGAGGGTCCTTTTAACTCATAAAATTCTACGATTACATTATAATATTGACCAGTAATTTTCAAAAGAACCATTGGATTCTTCAACTCTAGAAGCAGAATAGATGGTGGTTTGACTTCTGGGAGCCTACTTGATGGGCTGCCAGTCAGTTTTTGGCTTATAGGAGGGAGAAAGGAAAAGGAATAGTAGCCAGATCCTTCTTAAAGGCTTGAATTTGACAAGAAGGCACAATCTTTAAATTCAAACATAAGAAAAATTTCCTGCTTATATTTTTGTACATTAGGCTATTTGATTAGCCCTCCAAGAGAATTTATGAAGAGAGAGGGACAGAGGAGGGCTCTCTCCGAAATCCTCTCCTCTTTTTAAATTCTTCCTCCTTGGTCTCTAACTCCCATGAATTCAGCTATCATTTCTGCATAAATTACCTTTAAATCTATATACTCAGGCTTCTTTTGAAGTCTAGCCCTCTGTCACTTTGTGCTTGTTGGACATCTCCACCTGGTTGTCTCTTGGCATATAAAAAGTCAGCATATCCAGAGCAGCATTTTTCCTTACTCTAAACTCATCCCTCCTTTTGACTTTATTTAAGCACCACCATTGTTATACAAGTTTACAGCCTTCGAGTCACGCATAATTCTTCTTGCCCTTTCATCTCCTATGTCCTATCAGTAACCAAGTCCTTTTGATTTTGTTTCTACTACATCCTTTACCTCTGTCCCTTCCCTCCATTCATACAGCCACTGTCTTGTTTCAGGCCTCATCACTGTTTATATGGACTGTTGCAATAACCTCTGGCCTTAAGTGTCTTCCCCTCTTCACATCATCCACTTCACAGCTGCTAAAATTTATTACTAAAGCATAGGTCTAATTATGTCTCTGGTGTGCTCAAGAAGCTTCTGTGCTTCCCTATTTACTCTAGGACAAAAAAGAAATTCATCTATTTCATGTTTAAACTCCCTTACCATGTGGCTCTAACCTTTCTTTTCAGGCTGATTTTACACATTTCTTCCTCTTACACATGAAATATTTCAGTCAAACTGTTAGAAATAGAGCCCTTTGAACCCTCTCAGCAGGGTTGGGAAGTTAGCCCAGGCAAGCTCTTGCAGTCCGTTGCTTTCCCACTTGCAATGCTGAGTGGAGTCTTGCTCGGTAATGAAACTAAGTCCAGAGTGAAAGAATTGTTTATTACAGTTCTTGCAAGAAGTGTGCACCCCCTGGTGGAAGAGGCACACCATACAGAAGTGAGAGCCAGCTTTTATACTGTTAGTATGATCCTGCTCCTCCCATCAGAGCTAGGATTGAACCAGCTTAACTGAGTTACATTCTTCTTGAACCACCCATCCCATGTTCCTCCTTGTAATGTTAATCCCTCCCAGTTCATATGTCCCATGTTCAAAAATTGCAGCTATCTCCACCCTCAGGGTGTGTCACTTAATATTTTTTTTTCTTTAAGTGAGGCGATCGGGGTTTAATGACTTGCCCAAGGTCACATAGCTAGTATGTATCAAGTGTTTGGTCTGAGGTCGGATTTGAACTCAGGTCCTCCTGACTTCAGGGCCGGTGCTCTATCCACTGTGCCACCTAGCTGCCCCTGTGTCACTTAGTATTCAATAAGATTATTAAGTAAGCGGGTTACAACTGGTTTAGCCTCCAGAGTTCTTTTTAAGGAACTAGTTGTTTGTTGTTGTTTTTTTTTTTGTTTGTTTTGTTTTGTTTTGTTTTGTTTTTTTTTTTTGGTAAAGCAATTGGGGATAAATGACTTGCCAAGGGTCACACAGCTAGTAAATGTCAAATGTTTGGTCTGAGGCTGGATTTGATCTCAGGTCCTCCTGACTCCAGGGCCGGTGCTTTATCCACTATGCCACCTAGCTGCCCCTAGAACTAGTTGTTTTGCAGAATGTCTGGGGCACTTTCTGATTGGTTGAGGGACTATCCACAAGATCTTGGAAGTTCTCCTCAGAATTCCCTTGTTCTGCTGTGGAAGCCTAACTTCTAATTCTTTTCCACAAAACTGACCTAGTTCCTGGTTCATCTTCTTCCATATTCTACTTCCTCACCTTGACCTCTGAAATCCTTAACTTCCTTCAAGATTCAGCTTATGTACCACCTCCTACAAAAGGCTTTCCTGATTCCCTCGTTCGTTAGGATGCTGCTTACCCCTCCTGATAATACTTTGTATTGATTTTGCTTATATTTTTTATTTACTTATCTGTGTACATGCTATTTCCCATCAGCAGAATATTCACTGCTTGCTGAGGGCAAGGACTGTGTTTGTTTTTGTCTTCCAAATCTTTGGTTGCTCTGAATATGGTTGGCACCCAGTAGTCACTTAACAAATTCTTATTAAATTTGAATTTGAAAAAATAGTTCGAATAGTTACTGTTTCTGTAATGCCTTATTTATAATTTACAGTGTGATCTTCTCACAGTAGCTCTTGGGAGTAGTACATGATTGTTATTTCCATTTTACTGATAAGAATACTGAATTTTAAAGTTACTCGCCCATGGCCACAGTCCTAACGGGATGGAGCTAGGACATGAACCTTGTTCTGACTCCAGTTCTAATGCTCTTTCTCCACAATACTATTTAACCTAAAGTTTATCTCATTTGTGTAATAGAGCCTAGTTAATGATCTTCCCCTTCATATCCTCAACAGCAGTCTCTTAGTTACCATGGACTATTGTGTATTATCATTACCTTTATTTGTGTCTTATCCTTCTCCTAAAGTCTGAGCTTCACGACTGCATCTAATCTTTCTGTCTCTCCTAGCCTAGCATACAGTGCTCTGTACATTGTAAAAACGGAATTATTTATTCATCAGTTTCTACAGGAAGCTAATGTTCATATTTTAGGAAATAAGACCTGATGAGAGGGTGCTTTTATTACTACCCCATATGCACATTGGCTGTGAAACAAATCTACTCATTTCAGGTTAACAAACGTTTATTGATCACCTACTGTGTTCAGAATTCTATGCTTGATGTAAGGAGAATACAGAATTTAAATAAGACATAGTGATAGTTTGAGACTTCAGTGTAACTTAGAGATCATCTAGTCCAACTCCTTTGCTTTATAGATAACAGAAACTAAGGCTCAAAGAGGGAAAATGACTGACTGTACACAGATTACCTAGGTGGAAAGTAGCAGACTTGGCATCTTAATCTACATTCTCTGAATTCAAGTCCAAAACTCCTTCCATCATACTATAATATTTCCTGGTGTTATTTTGGGCCTTGCTGTCACACAGCTTGTGCTGTCATAGGAGGCTAAGACATATTGTGGAAATAATTGTACTATGTAGTAATATTTGACTGAGTGCCTTGTGAGAGATGAGGGAGGAAGATCATATTTCATATTTATTTTAGGCATGCTAGTTAACATAGTATTTCTGTCTTTTGTACTGGGATGTTTAATTTTGAATTCCATTTTGTATAGTTAGAAATTTATAGTTGAACTCTTGAAAAAGGAGTCAGTAATGTTATGGTAGATTAGCAGGGTAGTCCTACTTTTATGTCGTCCATAAATATATTCTGTATTTTGTCCACTCTTTTTTTTGTGCATGTGCAAGCATTCTGTGTTAAGTTTATTTTGACTTTTTATTTGTGAGCCTTTTATGTTATTTTTAAGTTTTCCCTCATCTGTGAGCCATTTATGGGTCATTTAAAAAATTTCCTCAAAAGTTGTATCTGAAATTTTTTATTAGCAACTCGGAGCAGAAGTCGTACCAATATGCTAATTGACCAGCACCCAGACCATGATGGATTATCCCAAGAGACGATTCAGGAAGTGCAGCCAGAAGAAGTGTTGGTCATTTCTTTGGGGACAGGCCCCCAGCTTACTCCAGGCATGATGTCAGAAAATGAGGTATGGCTGTTTTGCTGAATGTTAGATATAGTCCTCAGTTTTATAGTAATAAAAATTCCCGTTTCTGTAGTGCTTTCAGGTTTTACAAAATGCTTTTATTTCAGTCATCCTGTGAAATAGCCTGAGCAGTACATGGATTATTATCACTTTTTACTGAAAATACTGAAGTTCTTAGGTAAAATGACTTGCCCGTGGTCACTTAGTGTTAAAGGTAGAAATTGAAACAGATTTTCTAACCCCAAATTCATTACTCTTTTCACTGTGATGTGTAATTGTTTTATATTCTTTCTTTCCACATCTGTTTTCCTTAGGAGGAACTTTCTTCATGAAGTTATTTATTATAAGGATCTTTCTTTGATGGTTTTGACAATTCAGGATGCTTTGTAAATATAGCAAGTAAAAGTACTGATGTTAGCAATGTGAAGGCCCAAGTTTGAGTTTGAGTCATAACTGTGACTTACTGGCTTTGTGGTGTGGGACAAGCTTCTGTGATTCAAGACTAAGGTTCTTTCCATTATACCAACCGCATCTTTTGAAGTTACTCTGAATGTCTGGTGTCCTTTTCAAGCTTCTGTGAGCACTTGAACAGATAGGCAAGAGGCATTATTCTTTTTTTGCAGGTAAAGCATATTATTCATGAATTTTTATTAAGAATTTATTATTCTTAAAAAAGATTTGTGATTTTTGTAGTTGTGTAACTGACTGGGTTTATCTGTAGGCAGACATGTGATCTGTCTCCAGGCATTTATGAAACTGTTACAACATAATATAGGGCATGCCTGAACTTACTGTCCACTGGTATGACCTTCTAGAACCTAGTATAGCATAAATTGAGGCAGATCTTACATTTTGACTCTAGTTAGTAGAATGACTATGGTACAATGGATAGAGTGTTGGGCTTGCAGTTAGGAAGACTCATCTTCCTGAGTTCAAATCTGGTCTCAGACACTTACTAGCTGTGTGACTCTAGGCAGTCACTTAACCCTGTTTGCCTCAGTTTCCTCATCTGTAAAATGAGCTGGAGAAGGAAATGGCAAACTACTCCAGTATCTCTGCCAAGAAAAACCCAAATAGAGTCACAAAGAGCTGGACACAACTGAAAAACAATGGAACAACAGCAAAAGAAGTGGAAGGGTCACGTTGAGAGCAGTAGCAGCTTTTTATTCCTGTGAGTTTTCAAGCAGGGCCTTTTGGATGTGGAAGTTGGAGGTCTCTCCAGCTCCGTGGTTTTCTCTGAGCCCTAGTTTCGCTATTTCTGAAATGAGGACAGTGATTTATACATTGCCACCCAGTAGGGTTGTTGTAAGGAAAGCTCTTCATAAACCTTAAAGTATTGTAGCAACATGAACTTTTACTGCACAACTTAGTTTGTATGGATAAATATATTTTCAAGTAGATTTTTAAAAAATTTGTACAGTGTAATTGTTTATACTATATTTGACATTATAATGTGCTGGTGCTTAAACTATTAACAATTAGTTATTTAAATATAGATGTTAAAATGACCTTTCTATGGATTGAAATTTCTTATGTTTATGGGGTAAAGTGATATCCTTTCTCCTACATATTTCCAACATTTGCCTGGAAAATAAGATATTTAAGGTTCAGATTCCTGGTGTGCCTCTAATGTGCTGGTTGACTTTGAATAGGTCATTTAATCTTTTAAAAAATTGGACATCTCATTCAAAGATGAGTCAGGAGGACTGTGGTGAGAACTAATAAAAATATTTTGAAAGTGCTTTACAAATACAAGACATTGTAAAATGCATATTGATTAACACTGAGAGATTAAGAGCTGGGGTTAGCAGCAATATTGAGCCTTCATATGTGACCAGATCCTGTAAAGTTAAGTGCAAGCTCAACTCACACTAAATTACAGTGCTTTCTGTTTCCAAGGAAAAATTTGAAAAATTTTATGATATCTCAACAATTCTTTTTAAAAAGAGAATCACAGAAAAATAATTTGCTTAAATATAATCTTTCCTGTTTACAGTTTTATTTCACAGACAGATCTCTCTTAACATAAGTGGACCATTCAGCAGACCTCTATATAAAGTGATTTTGATGTAATGCAAGTGCCCCTACTCACCCACTTTATTTAGCCTATATAACAAAGGCATACACCAACATAATACCTTTATGGAAGTCACAAAGTGTACTAAAATGCAGACATATTACCGTACCATGATAATAGACAGGATTATGAAATGAAAGGTAAAGTTAATTATAAAGTATGCACAGTATAGCACAGTAAAATTAACACAGGTGTGTGCTATGTTGCTTCGTCCCCACCCACTGTGCCTAGCCTTTGTCCACTGGCTGTGCAATTTTTTTTATGAAACTATTGAGAGATATTTGGACAGGGGCTCTCTCTTTTTTTTTTTCCTTGTATATCTGACAATAGCAAGCAATATTATCCTTAACTAGTCTTTTAACTTTTGAAAATCTTGAAGTGTTTGGGATCCATCATTTTAATACAAGAAAAAAAATAAATCAAATAATGAAATATTTCTGCCACCTATTTTTTTGTGAGCCTTTTTTTTTTTTTTAACCTCAGGTTCCATAACTTCCCTTTCTTTTTCTGTAATCTTCGTAGCTAGGAGCTCAATTGATCACCATTTGACAGTTCTTCATGAGACTGAATCAACTCTTCCACATCATTCTCATTTACTTCTAGCTCCAGTTTTTATGCTAATTTTATAATCTTGTTACTAACTTCCTTGAATGTTTTATCTTTGTCAAATCCGTGCTTTTTTCCAAAGTCTCTTCATACATGTTTCTGTTTGATCTTCCCATACCTTTCAGAATTCTTTTTGTAAAATTGAATTTGCGTAATATGAGTTTACATAAAATGAGCTATCTGTACTTATTTATCCAACTTGACACTGGGTCTCCCTAGTTCCAGTAGCTAGGGGGGGCAGTGGATAGAGTTCTGGGCCTATAGTCAGGAAGATCCCTCTTCCTGAATTCAAATCTGGCCTAAGATACTTTTTAGCTGTGTGACCCTGGACAAGTCACTTATTCCTGTTTTCCTCAATTCCTCATCAGTAAATAATCTGGAGAAGGAAATAACAAACAACTCCATTATCTTTGCCAAGAAAACCCCAAATGGGGTCATCAAGAGTCATACTTAACTGAAACAACTGAACAATAACAACTATCTAGATTGCTTAGATTGGAAGTGCAGTGGCCCCTTCTGGGCCTAATACTGATCATCACAGAGGCTTTAATTAAACGCTCCATTTTTCTGACCTGGGCCAAATCGTCCCTCTTCAGTCAAACCTGGTGGCCATTTGCTTCTAGAGTCTCACACTTTGGTACCAGATTTAGTGAGGACACCCAGTAGACTTTAACCTTGCTGCAGCAGCTCAGAATCCCTGGAGTCAGGCCTCTCAGCCTTCCTAGAAGTAGTACTTCAGGGATGTGTCATGGAGCCCAGCCTTTCTGTTGATGTTCATTTCTAAGGAAAATTGTTAGGGAAGTTATAAGATAGGGTTTCATTTCCTGCCTTAGAGATTCTAATAGCTGAAAGTGGTCATAAAATAATAAGTTTATTAGTACTAAAATACTAATAGTATTAAAATTATGTAGTACCAAAAGACTCTTGAAAATTGATTTCTCTAATTAAGAAAAAAACCTTAGGGGCAGCTAGGTGGTACAGTGGGTAGAGCACCAGCCCTGGATTCAGGAGGACCTGAGTTCAAATTCGGCCTCAGACCAGATATTTTACACTTACTAGCTGTGTGACCCTGGGCAAGTCACTTAAATCCATTGCCTAGACCAAAAAAAAAAAAAAGAAAGAAAAAGGAAAAAAACCTTAAAATAGTGCTATCACTGTATAGTAGAAAGAGGGCTAAACTTGATGTTAGGAGACTGTGACCTGCAGTATAATAGAAAGAATACAGGATTGTGAGTTAGAAGACTTGTGCTTGAATGTTGGCTTTGCTACCTACTATCCATGTGACCACAGGCAAGTCACTTTTCCCCTCAGTGTCCTGGTCTGTTATAAGGAGGGGTTGTATTAGATAGTCCCTTCAGCTTAAAGCTTAATAATAATAGGAATCCTGGCTCTGATGCTTATTATTTATTATTATTATTATTGTGTGACTCTTGAACCTTTTTTTATCTCTGTGAGCTTAGTTTCTTCATCCGTAGTGTAGATAGGTAGAATTACTGTGCTGTCTACCTTTCAGGGTTGATTAGAATAAAGTGTAAACCTTAAAGTACTATAGAAGTGTGAGGTGGTTGTTGTTGTTTGTTAAAAATTCCATCTCATTTTCACTTGTTATAATATCAATACCAGAATGACTTTATCTCTTAGGTCTTAAACATGCAGCTTTCAGATGGAGGACAAGGAGATGTCCCTGTTGATGAAACCAAACTCCACGGTAAACCTGATAAAACCTTGCGCTTTTCCCTCTGCAGTGATAATCTGGAAGGAATATCTGAAGGTGAAGGGTTACTTTATTCCAGGAATTGTGATTCAAGTAGATTTTGTAGTTTTCTTTAAAGGAGCTTTATTAAGAAGGATGCTTATGCCATCTTTGCCTTTTAGTAAGTGTGCTACAGTTGGTTATAAAGATAAATACTTGAAATTTGATATGCAAGAGATTGTTAAAAAGTTGAAATGAGGAAAAAAGAGAAGTAAGTTTGCTTCATTAAAATCTGAATATTCTTGTGGCCAGTCTTTGGCAGTTTTGTGTATTTCCTGTTAATGGCCATCCACGTATTTGCCTTTTAGACTCTATGGCTCCTTTAGAGGTACATAAATAATGCATGTCTAACTAGAATGAACAAATAAACCAGCATTTTGTTTCAGTAGCATTTATAGTTTTAAATTTTATGTCATTTTTCTTCCAAATTTGCTTTTACGTATTTTCTAAAGTAGAGCTAAGTCATTGTAACTCTAGGTGACAAACTGCTCACAGTTGTTCTTGCCAGGCTTGTACTGTCCACCACATTTAGCATATAAGTGATTAAAGAGTGATAGGTTGTGCTGCACCATTCACACACCTCATTGATCCAGGAGCATACAACAGAAATATGAATGAAAAAATTGAATGGTTAATTCTCAAAGTGGGAGTTTTGGTCATTCTATGAATCAGAAAAAAGACTGCTACCCTGAAGAATTTTGAGATTGCAGATTCAATATTTAAATTTAATTCTCAGAGCAGTATCTTAACAGTTTTTAATCACTTATCAAAGCATGAAAATTTGCATGTGGCTCAGCAATGTGTCTTGCTTAAAGACAGTCACTAACAGAAAAAAAATTTCTGTAGGTCCTTCAAATCGTTCTAATTCGGTATCTTCTCTGGACCTGGAAGGAGAGTCTGTATCAGAACTTGGAGCAGGGCCTTCTGGGAGTAATGGAGTTGAAGCTCTACAGCTTTTGGAACATGAACAAGGTGAGAAATAGATAAAAACAACTGCAAAGTATAAAAAACAGCTTTAAGCTTTTGGAGGTCAGGGACCATGTTACATATTTGTTTTCTATCCTCCAACAGCCCTTTTACAATATAGATACTTAATAATTACTTATTCAATCAAATTATATTTTTGATTTTCAGTGTGTCACATTCTGATTCTCTCTGAGACCTTCATTGATTTGCATATAGCAGTTAATAAATAAATATATGTCGATTTTAGTTTTAAAAAAATTTCTATATGGTAACTATTAAACTTAATTTCCCCTTTGGCTATATGCTTCTTTTGCATGCACTCAGTTTCTTCAGTAAGTAAAATTTGTAGTCTCACCTTACTGAGAAGAATGGATTTTTCATGAATTAAAAATGTTCAGAATAAATGAAAAAACATTTCTAACTTGTAACTCAGAGAAAGATTCTTTTAAGTTGGCCATAGCCAAATGGATACCTATTTTATAATAAAGAGGGGTTCTCATTGTTTTTGACAGCTACGACACAGGATAACCTTGATGATAAACTGCGGAAATTTGAAATTCGTGATATGATGGGGCTAACCGATGATCGGGATATTTCAGAAACAGTGAGTGAGACCTGGAGCACAGATGTCTTGGGCAGTGATTTTGATCCCAACATTGATGAAGATCGATTACAGGAGATTGCAGGTAACTGATAAGGGTGTATGGTAAGCTCTCTATTGATGTTTATGTAGTTGTTCCCTCATTGTTATGCTCTAACAAGTATCACATTTTAGGGGTAAAGTTGGCATTGTTTTCTTGTATGCAAACCTAATATTGAAATGAATCATTTTCTTCTACAGTTTTTATTTATTTAAACATAGGCAAGGTTCTCCCTTCCTGCACTTTATCCTGAAAGAGAATAACCACTTTCCTGAATTACTTTATAGTTTCCTCTTATTTTTAGGAACTGGCATCTGTTTTTAGTAAATTCCTCCCCAAGAGTAAACTTCAGATCATTGAGATGTGAATTAACTCTTTCTGAGTATGTAAATTTCAGTGCACTTTGCAGCATGGAGGATCTCAGAAAGAATTTATTCACCTTTGAAAGTGTTATTCAGCTTGAAAAGGTGTTCTCTCTATTCTTAGAAAATAATTTTTTTATCTTTGGATCAATGCTGATGTATTAATGTATCAGTGCCACATATTAAAAATGGTAAAGTTTTTTCTTCCCAAATGAACCAAAGTTAGAACAATTCTTTCATTACACTAAGTTGAAAATCATGGAACTTCTTTTAGTTGTATGTTTTAATAGAGCCATTCAGTAATGTTGAGTCTTTTTACATGTATTCTTAAATAGTGTAAATAGATTTCTTAATTAGTCTTGCATTACTCTGTTCTAGATGCCAAAGGAGTATTATTCCTGGCATTGGAATATATGAAGCAATAAGCTATATTTGCAGTTGAATGACTGCTGTAGAGGAGGTGTGTATTCTACTGCAAATACATTTTATCGCTCTGTGTACTCCATGGTTCGCTAAGGTGCCAGAAGAAAGCTTATTTGGCCAATGTGTTCCTTTGAGGTTGAGTCTCTTAGTTTGAACTTTTGGAGTCTCTGCAGTGCTTTTGTTATCTGTGGAGGAGTGTATGTTGGAGGAGAGAGACGTTGCAAGCGGAGCATCGTAGCTGAATCAGTAATATTGGCAGCTGACTACAATGACTTGAATGATGTGTGTTCACTTCATGGAGAGAAAAGTATGGAAAAATAGGAAAGCAGTCCATGGAATTTGAGTGTTGCCATGATTTATAGTAGCAGACTCTTGCTTTTGGTGGTGATTATGGTTCAAAGCATTCTTTCTTTTCTTTTAGTCCCTTGAGTATAGGCTCAAGAATTTTGTAAGGCTCGTGTTGGGTCTTTCTCCTTTTGTCTCTGCTTTTTCCGTCCAGACCTTTGTTAACCCTTTGCTCCACTGGTTGTACAGGTGCGGCAGCAGAGAACATGTTAGGCAGTTTGCTGTGTCTGCCAGGTTCAGGGTCAGTGCTTCTTGACCCCTGCACTGGTTCTACCATATCAGAAACAACCAGCGAAGCTTGGAGTGTAGAGGTATTACCAAGTGACTCAGGTTAGTATCCTGTCCTCATTTTCTTTTTTTTTCCTTTGCACAGAAGCAATCAATTTACTTAAATACATGGGTTGAATGTACATTTATTTAACAAACATTTATCAATCAACCGCTGTGTGCAATGTACTCTGCTTGGCAGTGGGTAGATTGAAAGTTGGGTTAGATATGGTTCCTTTTTTCATGGAACTCACTAGTTATTTGTAGGGGGATAAAATCCCCCATCATATATATTACATTGCTCCTTTCAAGATTCAGCTTGAGTACCCCCTTCTACATGAGGCCTTTCCTTATTTCTCCAGTCATTGTTGTCCTTTTCTCCCAGCCTGCATTGTATTTACTTGTATTGATTTATCTTTGTACAAATTGTTTCCTCCCAGTAGAACGTCAGTTCCTTGAGGGAAGGGATTGTTTTATTTTTGCCTTTTTATTCTCTCCATCTAGCATATAATATTTTGCACATATTGGACACTTAATGTGCATTGAATTATTAAGAGTTAAGTGTATTGGAGAGGTACAAAACAAAGTGTTATGTGAGATCCCAGGGGAAAGAACATTTTATTAATAGGGAAGATTCTTCCTGGCAGAGGTGGCATTCTTATTCAAGTTTTAAAGTGTGATTAGACATATGAGAGGTAAAGAGGGAAAGTGAAGGCATGCCAAGCATTGAGAAAAGTATAAGCAAATGCACAGAGGAGGGAAAGCAAACACTAGTCTAGTTTACCTGGAAGGAACATCTTGCATATGTGCATATGTCTCACATGTGCACTTCCACAGACCTAAGTGTGGAGTGATATGTTATTAGGCTGGGTAGGACAGGTGGTACTAGATTGTGGATAGCCTTGAATATAAAGCAAAGTAAAAAGAGGGGATGGACAACTGGATATTCTCATCACGGTAGCAAACTATTTTCACTTGTGACATTTTCTGTCCATTAATATGACATAGAGAACCTTGGAATTGGAGTCAGAAGGCCTTGAAGTTCAAGTCCCAATTTTGTAATTTATTAGGTGTATGATCTTGGACAATTCCCTCTGCTCTCTGGCATCTCTTTTCTTTAACATAAATGTGGGGTTTGGACAAGATGATCTCTAAAGGACCCCCAGTTCTTAATCTGAGATTTTGAACTCTTTGGGAACTTTTGAATAATCATGGGCAGGCTTTTTTTTCCTAAATGATTAAATTCTGGATTTTTAAAAAGCAATTACTATTATTAGGATCACTCAAGATGGGAGAATTACTTTTCTGTCTTTCAATCTAGCGTCATAAATGCAGCACAGGATTAGCAGTGCCTTTCTGATGCTAAGTAGGACAGTGCCCTGCAGTCATGGCTAGGTTTGTGTCAGTGGAAGAGTTACCCCCCCTACATTTTGTAAAAAGTTTGAAATTGAACAATAGGCCTCCAGAAATTCTTTTATGCGGGATTATTGTATATCCATATGTAGTACTTTAGTTTACATATTGAATCACATTTTCCTTTTTACGCTTACAGAATGTCTTGTGTCTCTTATTAGAGGACAGTTATCACAATATTAAGTAAAACTGCATTCACCCAAAGTTTGGCCTGATTCCTTTAATTAAGGGACAATTGATTTTTTTTTTGAAATGTGAATATTTTGGAATACTTTTCAGAAATTCAGATATACCAGTGTCATTTTTATAAGTAGGTTATGCTACTAATTGACTATAGTGACATATGCTGAGTTGTTTTTCTAAAGACAATATGTTTTAGTGGAGAGAGCCCTGGACTTGGGCTCATAAGACCTGAGTTCAGATCTTGGCTCTCAAGTTTACAATGTATGTGACTATTGGAAGTCACTTAGTTTCTCTGGGCCTGTTTCCTTATCTGTCTAATGGAGATAAAAGTATTTGCACTGCCTCTCTTATAGAGTAATTGTGAAGAAAGCATTTTGTAGACCTTCAGTACTATTGAAGTTTGATTTATTATTGCTTACTAGTGATGATGTGTTTGCTCCCTGTTATCCACATACCCTGGTCCAAACTTCCATGTACATGTACCAGTACATGGTTTTTATATGACTGGTTGGAATTGGGGACATAGTCTATTGTCTTGAAACAGTTTTCATCTGTGCACAATTAACCGACCTGTAAAAGATTGGAATCTTTAACCTTGGCTTCATTAACACAGTGGTCTAAGCAATTGAAATAACTGGCCTAGATATAGAAATCTATTTACACTGGTTTTATTAATCCTCAGGTGGGCTTTTTTGTATATGGGTTATAGAAATTGAAGGCAGGAGGAACTGACTAAAGCACTAATATGAGCACATGCTGTTTTCCATCCAGAAGCCCCAGACCTCAAACAGGAAGAGAGATTACAAGAGCTGGAGAGCTGTTCTGGACTGGGCAGCACATCTGATGATACAGATGTCCGGGAAGTCAGTTCCCGCCCCAGCACTCCAGGCCTCAGTGTTGTCTCAGGTATTTCTATCTTGTTTTATGGAAGAAGTATTTTAAGGTTTTTTTTTTAATTTCAGTAAGTTTTCTGTTGATGTCACCCTGACATTTTAACTTACGGGTTGCATCAGGAAAATTTCCCTTTTTTAAATTAAAACTGATTTTAAAGGGGTCCTACAGGCTGTGGCCTGGTTTCACTGTCTAAATCAATGAGTTTTCCATTTAATTTTGAACTTGATATTTGTGTTTCCTTGTCCTTTGGTGGTTAATGAGTGACAGTGTAATAGAGTGAAAGGATCACTAGTCTGGGAATCAGAAGACTGAAGTTCAGATTCAGACTCTGCTACTTCTGACTGTAGACTCAGACAGGCCATTTAATCTTTCTGTGTCTCAGTTTTTTCATCAGTAAAATAAAGATGATGGTAATTGCACTACTTACTTATTGGGGTTACAGTGAGGAAATTACATTGTATTGTGAATTGTGATCACATGAAATAATTCAGGTACACACAAGGTACAATGTAAATGAGAATCAATGTAAAATGTTTTGTAATGATTAAGAAAGATACAAATGTCAGGTATCATATTATTATTATTGTTGTTGTTTTTATTATTATGGTATTATTCTAAATACCCAGTAGCCTGCTATTATATTCTGCCTTTACAGGTTAGTTCTTTGTGTCGTATAAGTCAGTTTCACTACATGTAAGCCTAAATATAAAAGCAATGGTACTAATAAGATCTAGCCAGCACACAAAGAATTTGTTAATATTTAAAGGCTTTTCTAATAATTTTCTTGTGTTTTTTGTGTGTATTTTTCTTCTGTAAGGCATCAGTGCAACCTCTGAGGATATTCCTAATAAGATTGAGGACCTTAGATCTGAATGTAGTTCTGACTTTGGTGGCAAAGATTCAGTCACCAGTCCAGATATGGATGAAGTTGTCCATGGTAAGAAAGACCAATGTATGTGAGGTGTGCAAATAAATTTACCTCTTGTCCCAGGTGCCTCAGATATGTCATTATTTAATTTTATTCTCACCATCATTTCATGACTTTGTTACCTAGAGATACCTGATTCTGTGAAAGAGACACAATTTCATTGGTGTGGCTTTTTTATCTTGACCAGCACAACAGCTTCTCTCTGATTTCTAATTCTGTTTGACTTTTATTTGAATTTTCCCACAAATACTCCATAGGGGATCTACCTAGTGTTCTGGAGGCATTTTCTTTTGTCTTTTTTAGTTCAGAGGTGTCACCTTTTTTTCAGTTAGGAGGCTAATTGATTTGAAAACCATATATCTGTAGACTTAAAGAATTTTATATTCATGACAGTGGTGATGTGTGATATCTATTAATAGTACATTGATATGTACATTTTATAACAAAGAAGTTGTCCTCAAAACATTTTAGTTAGTTTTGTCCATACAAAATTTCGGTTATAAGCTTTGTGCTAGCCAATGATAAATTTTTGATTATGTCAGTGAGAATACCATTTAAAATTTTTTTCATCTAATAAAGATTACTTTTTTCTTCTTACTGCCCTTTTAAAAAAAAAAGAAAGAAGTCCTTTTAACAAATTTAATATTGATTAAATGTTTAGTCAAGCAAAACAGATTCTTGCATTGGCCATGTTAAAAATGTGTGTGTACATATATAAACATATATATTTATATAAACCTCTCTGTATAATATATGTGTCTGTGTATGCCTGTATGTATGTATATATGCATATATGCATAAATCCATCCTCTCTCATGGGTGTTTGTCCCCTGGAATCATGGTTTTATTTTTTTTATTTTTTTTTTTTGGCTCTTTTTGGCTTTTTTTGGGTGAGGCAGTCAGAGTTAAGTGACTTGCTCAGAGTCACATAGCTAGTAAGTGTCAAATGTCTGAGGTTGGATTTGAACTCAGGTCCTATTGCCTCCATAGTCTGAGCTCTATCTACTGCACCACCTAGCTGCCCCTTGTTTATTGTATTAAACAAGAGTTTTTTAGTCTTGCAAAGTTATTGGTCTTCACAGTTTTCTTGTTATTGTATAAATTGTTCTGGTTCTGCTCATTTCACTCTGTGTCGGTTTATTTTACAAGTCTTGTCAGGTTTCTCTGAAATAGTCCCTTTCATCTTATGGCGTAATCCATCACGTTTGTATCCCATTACTTATTCACCCATTCCCACTCTCTTAGTTTCTAGTTCTTTGCTATCACAAAAAGAGCTGTTAAAAATATTTTTGTTTACATTTATCTTCCTTTTTTTTTTAATTGGAGTACATACCTTATAGCCAGACTATTTTATTTTTTCTTTTTTAAGATTATGTTTTTTCTTTCACTAGGCTAGGTGCAGAGTGGCCACACAGGGTGGTCTTTCATAGGTCCAGGCACTTTGCTGCACTGCATGGGAGCTTTGACCTGTTCTATTTTCCCACCTGGGCCAGTTTACCCTTCCTTAGGCAGCCTAGTTTCTTCCTGCCACCTCCAAATCTAAATCTAAAGGGCTCCTCATATTGGTGTTGAACATAGTATGGACACCCATGTGACTTAGCCCACTGAAGCTCAGAATTCCAAAGCTTAAGTGATCCACTAGCTCCAGCCTCTGTAGTAGCCAGGATCACAGAGGTGCCACATCATGCTTGGCAGCTGGATTGTTTTCAAGAGCTATATGCTTTCAATTCTGACTTTTAAAGTTACATCGTAGATAGTAGCTTTTTGCAGTTTCATAAAGAATATAAATTCATAGAATCAGATCAATTCGAACATTTCCTTTTCCAGTTATATATCTCAATAATATCATTTATGCTACTTCTCAGCATTGAAAATGAAAAAGTATTTTATTCTTCCTTTTACATTTTAAAATAAAACAGCAGTAATTCATGAAAATAGATACATGTAGAAAGATGATACCACTTTTAGAATAAAATTATTTGAATTACAGCAACTGATTTATTTGATATGTCTGGAGATTTTCCCTTTTTACCTCCCACATTTCCTTTTCACATTATTCATACTTATATGTGGCCAAGTCATTATTAACTTTTCCTCTGTTGTGTGTGTTATATTTCTGGTCATCACATTTTGTTTTATGGCATGACATGTTCAGCTTTTGTGCCTTTAATCTGCCTAATCTGATGACAGACTCGCTATAGAACTTGACCACATTCTACCTGGCCTGTCTTCCTCTAGTTTTGGAGACCATTGATAACACTAACATGTTGATAGGTGGCCTTAAAACTATCTTATTATGTGTAGTTCTTAGGACCTTTCTACCATTCTTCTGTTGTTATTGTGGAAGTAGGCAGAGGGGAAGGAATACATATGTATATTTGTCTATTTTTTATTGTTTTTTTTTCAATTGGAGTGGGTAAAATAATTTATTACCTAGGAACTCATGAGATGAACTCCTCTGGTTTTAACTAGAAGCTGACCCTCAGACAGTATCTCACTTGAACATTCATAGCTTGGTAGAATTTTCCTGCAAAGTAAAGTGTCAAAGCATAGATGTATTTGAATTTTCCTATAAGACTGTGCTGGTGAGAGTATTTCTCCAGTATTGATTGTTTATGAAATTTTTTGGATCTTTGAAGTGTACTCAGAAAGTAAATAAATATTTGTCTGAGCAAGTGGGGAACTGAAAGTGCTAAAATATGTTTATTTTTGACTCAGTTTCATATTGTGTTTCAGGAGCCCACCAGCTGACTTCTCCTCCCTCTCAATCAGAGTCTTTGCTTGCAATGTTTGACCCATTGGCTTCACATGAAGGTAAGTTATTGAAATTATTTCTTCAGCTCTTTAGAGTTCATTGTTCATTGGTGTCTGGCAACAGCTGATAAAGAAATTAAATACTTGGTTTCTTATTTTCTGGTGCTGAGCCTTTCAGAACTTAGCTAGTTTGGTCCTCAGACAGTAGACACATAGTACAGTATTAGGCCTGTATTTGAAGTCTTTCCTACTACATAGATCCTGTGAGAGATGGTGCTCTGCTGGAAGAACCCAGGGAACTTCACTCATTACTGTGAAGCATTCAAAGAGAACTTTAATACAGGATTGAAATGATTATGAAGAAGAAAATAAATATGCATCTTTAACCTAAAATTTTTTTATTGCTATCTTTTGTTTTTATATCACTTATATTTCCCAATGTATCCCTACACCATTGTCCTTCTAGACCTAAAAAGTCATCTTCTATACCAAAGGGAGAGAAAGAAGAGACAAAAAACTAATTTAGTATATCTGACATACTGAAAAAAATCTTAAAATTATATGTAGTTTTCCACATCTTTCTTCAGTCCCTCACTCCTGCAGAGAAGTTGAAAGAGCTACCCTGTCATGTATCTTCTTTGGGGCCAAATTTGATTATTATAATTTTGCTGGGTTCCTTGACTTTTAAGGTTATTTGTAACCAAAGAAAAAATTCATCGTGTAATTTAAAGCCTTTGTTATATTATTTGTATCTTGGGAAATTTTTCTTTATCCAAGGAGCTTCTGCTGTAGTAAGACCAAAAGTTCACTATGCTAGACCATCACACCCACCACCAGATCCTCCAATCCTGGAAGGAGCTATGGGAGGGAATGAAGCCAGGCTACCAGGATTTGGCTCTCATGTGTTGATTCCAACGGATGCAGAAGCATTCAAGCAGAGACATTCCTATCCTGAGCGATTAGTCCGCAGCAGGAGTTCTGATATTGTATCTTCGGCCCGGAGACCCATGAGTGATCCTAGTTGGAATCGGCGTCCTGGGAATGAAGAGAGAGAACTGCTTCCTTCAACTGCCATTGGATCTCCTTTAGTGGCTGCACCTCCATCATCATCTTCATCTCCTAGTAAAGATTCCTTGAGAGGAGAGGTGAGGAGCCCCAGATTTAGTAGAGCAATATTTTGTTAACTGTTGGTTTGAATGACCTCAGCTAGTACTGTTGGCCTCTCAAACTGACATGGAGTCCATTGACCAAAGAGGTGGGAATATCTGTAAATAAGTCTAATTTGATGACCTGGGATAGTAGTTCTCAAGCTTTTTGGTCTGATGACTCCTTTAGACTTAAAAATTAAGGACCCCAAAGAGCTGTGTAGTAGAGTCTATAACCCACTGCTTGTGTGGATTATGTCTATTGATATTTACTGTATTTGAAATTAAAACTGATAAAATTTTAAAATACTTATTCATTTAAATAATAAATCTATTACATGTGAACAAATAACTTTTTGTGAAAAATAACTTTTCCGAAACAAAAAGTAGAAGAATGGCATTGTTTTACATGTTTTTGCAAATCCCTTTAATATCTGGCTCAATAGAAGACAACCAGATTTTTATATCTGCTTCTTCATTCAATTTATTGTAATATTTTGTTTTGGTTGAAGTATATAAAGAAAATCTGGCTTCATATAGGTACAAAGTTGGAAAAGTGAAGAGTGTTTTAATCAGCCAATAACATCTTAGTATTATTATGGAAATAGTTTTAACTATGGAGACACCCAAGGGTTGGTGGATCACGCTTTGAGAACCATTGATCTAGTGAAACTTTTCCTTATTATGCTAAATACCCTGACACCCAGGATCCCTAGGCAGTTTGTTTTTTTGAAGTGGTAGAAATTCCACAAGTCAATTCAGTAAATATTTATGAAATAACATACTAAGTGCTAACATGTAGAGATGAAGTAAGACACTGTTTGTTCCTCAAGAAGCTTAAAATCTAGTAGAGGGTATAAGATGTCCACAAGTAAGTATGTGCCTTTTTTGAAAGTCATGATTTTCTTAGCATGAACTCTCCTGGTGCTGCTCCTGCAGACTATAGCTCCTCCACACTTCAGTTCACATCCCCTGTGAGGTTCTATGGACAGAACTCTCACGGGACGTGTTTGGCTTTGATCCTTTCCAAAATCTGATCCTCAGACTGTGGATGCAAAATTCAGCTCTTATTAATGATAGTACATTAAATTTGTATTTTGAACTTTTTTTAAAAAAATGATTTAAAATTTTTCTCAAAACACTTTCCTATTCCATGAGGTATACAGAGGAATTAATTTTAGCTAACTTTTTAGATAAAGAATCTGAGGTTTAAATGGAGGCAAAGTAGCTCTCCCAAGATTATACTATGCGTTAATGATAGAGAGGGGACCAGAACCCATATCTCCTTACTCCTATTCTGGTGCTTTCCCCATCATATCCACTTCCCTTTCCTTTCCCCATGGAATCCCAAAATATGTATAAAACTTCGTACCTTTGTAGTCAATGCAATTTTATACATAAGGTAGAGTCTGCAGTGATTTTTCTAGTGAACCATCCCAGGGATTTTTTAAATATTTCATAGATATTTTGAAAACATTTTATACCTATCTAGATTGCAAATAAAATGCAAAAATCTTTCTGCAGACTGAAGAACGAAAAGATAGTGATGATGAGAAGTCAGACAGAAACAAACCTTGGTGGAGAAAACGTTTTGTTTCAGCTATGCCTAAAGGTAATTTCACAAAATTATTAGAATACTATGGTTTAGGATCAGAGAAATAGAGTCCATTGATTTCAGTAAGTCAGTATTCCAGGTCTTGTGGGAATTTGATTATGACTTGACTTCTAATGTGTTTTAAGTGGCTCATCTTAGATGGATGTTAAGACAGCTTTAGGATGTTAAGGTTACTGCTCTGCGACCCATGATGTGTTGATTTCTCATAAACCCAGGAGAAAATATGTACGTTTGGGATGTGTAAATACGAAATACTGCTGAAGTTCACTTGAAGATCCTTTGGACAGGAATATCACTTTTCAAAACTGAATAAAAAAAAATTTTTATCCCATTATGGGATTGATCTTTAGAATTTGCAACATTAATTTGAACACCTGGAGTAAATTTAAACTTTTCATCTTGATAAGTTGAGTTTTATTCCTTATATCTTAGTGTGTTGGTATTGAAATTCAGTTGTATGAGACCATGTGCTTTTCCTGTGAACAGCTTGGTATTATTGAGATGTTAATATTTAAGTTTGCACATGTGTTTATACCTGAAAAGGAGAAGCACCAGGAGTAAAAACAGGTGCCACTTTTGCAGGTCTCCCCTTAGTAACCTGGGACTCCGGAGCTATGGATGACCCCTTTCATTCGTAATTAGGGCCTCTTGCTGAGGAGAGAATGGTGTTCCGAGCTTTGAATGTGGTGTTTTTTTGTTTTTTTGTTTTTTTGGCAGGTTTCAGAGTGCAATGGATTCAACTTAATTTCTGATTACCTCTTAATTGATCCTTTCTTATAAAAGAGAATCTTCAAATAGACTCTGAGAACTCAAGTTCAGTTCTTTTTAAGAACATTTGTCTGTGGAAAGGATTTACACAAATAATTTCTTAGGCTTTCAGCTTTTAAAACCTCCTTTCATTTAGAACTGTTGGCACACCAGTATCTCCAAAATGACTGACTACTGTCTTCCGAGTACAGTGCAGTATGTTATATATCACACTACTGACTTTATTTAATTTCCAGCTCCTATACCATTTAGAAAGAAAGAAAAACAAGAAAAAGACAAAGATGATCTGGGTCCTGACAGATTCTCAGCACTTACAGGTTTGTAGACCCATGGACTTCCTGGCTCCTTCATTCCCAGAGCACATATTCCATAACACTTTTTCTTGGGTGCCATAAACGTTACCTCTGTAGAAAAGTATGTTTGTGTGTGTGTGTGTGTATGTGTTTGTATGTGTGTGAAATGATGGGGAATATTTCCTTCATAGCTCCGTAGCTTCTAATAGAAGATTGTAGTGGATTATTAGTATGCTCTTGCTGCAGACCACCACCACCATCATCATCGTCATCGTCATCAATTTTAATTTATTAAGAATTTCTAAAACTGAACCTCTAGGCGCATTTACACAAATTGTTATCTCTCAGAAAAGACACATTCATTCTTGGGAAAAACCCCTAGCAGATCTCAAGAATAAGGTCCACACCACGTCTTTAGCCCGTATATTTGACTGACTACCTAGATTTTAGAACCCTAAATTTGTTTTATCAATAGCTTGCCCTTTAAGTTATTCATGCTTCGTGTAGTATTGCTGTGTCAAACTGGAATTTTCATAGTGAAATTTCAGCCTAAGTAGCAGATAACACACTAGTAAAATATGCTTATGTTTCACCTAATTTGCACTGTATATAAGTTTAGTATATTTATCTTACTGAGGATTCAGTATTTTCCTTTCTTCAGCAGTACTTGCTGAGTGATTAGACCGACCATGAATGAGTCTGTATATAGGCGTATCCCACATAATGTTGCCCTGGCCAATGTCACCTAGCAGTGATGTCATTAATACACTGGATGCAAACCCCACCACAATATTGAGAATATTGAGACACTTTCTTGTCGGTTCATGCAGCCAACCACCTGTGAGGTTGATTGTTCCTATGGAACCAACCTTAACTCTTCATACCCCCCCCCCCCCAGTGTTTTTCCCCATTGTGTTTTCTAAGAACTCTTTAGTGATGTTATTAGGCAGGCTGTGCCTATATAATTAACTAACTTGGAGTTTGAAAGTTTTTAATTTATTCCAGTAGCTGTAGAGAATTAGGGTAAGTTTACATCTATTCTCACTCCATTCTGAATTTTTTTTTAATTGTACTGAGTTAGAATGATGATTTTTTAAAATTAAAAATGGATAGTTTAGATTGGAAAAAAAAATCTACCCTGGGTACAAGTAGAATCCTATTTTAATGATTGCCATTTTAATGACTTTTTAATTATTGTATTAGATAGGTCATATCAGTAGTTGCTTTGTTGATCAGGATATGGTAAATTCTCTTAAATGAGAAATCCTATAAAGCCTGTTTTCCCAAGTCATGGTTCTATTCAACAATTTATTTAATATTGTCCTTGTCATAAAGTATGTGCACAGTACCTATATTTAAATACCTTTGTAATTATGTATAGTTACAAAATGTTAAATGATTTTTAAAATTGTGTTGATGGCCTTTGGGAGTTTGTATTTAATTTTGTTGATTTTAGGTTTAAATTGGGCAGGAAGGATAAAGAATATTCTCTGGCTCTTGGTGCCTGGGTTAGTAGGAAAATGAAGTGCTGCTATTAGTAGCTTTGTAGACTAGGTATCAAAGCTTATAGTCAGGTAATTCACAAAGTAGTACCAGGAAGCATAGAGTAGAGGAAATAGTAATTAGCTTGGGGTGAGAAGAATTGGACTTGAGTCCTGTATTTGCCGCTTAGTAGCTCTATGACTTTGGACAAGCAATTTTCTTCTCTGGGCCTTCATTTTCACATCTATAAAATAAAGCAAATTTTATTAGATGATTTCTAAGGTCCTTTTTAGCTCTAACCTTCTATGATTCACAAAAGCATACTAGAAGAGGAGAGGGAGGGAAGGAATAAACATTTATATAGCACCCGTTATGTGCCAGGCGTTTTACTGAGCAATTTTTTTTTTTAACAAAATATTGTCTTATTTGATCCTTGCAATGACCCTGGAAGGTAGGTGCTGTTATTATTCTTCCCATTTTACAATTAAGGAAACTGAGGCAAATAGGTGATGTGGCTTGCCCAGGGGTCACATAGCTAGTAAGTGTTCAAGGCCTAATTTTAACTTGAGTCTTCCTGGCTCCAGGCCCAGCACTCTATCCATTCCACCACCAGCTGCATCAGTGAACCCCAGATTTGGATGACTCTTGTCCAGGGTCACACAGCTAGTGAGAGGCAAAATGGGGTTCAAACAGTTTTCTTCTGATTGCAAATCCTATTTTTTGACACTGGCTCCTCCCAAAGTATTTCACCTTGAGCTGACTTGTGCTTCGTTTTTATAATCTTCATCAACATGTGAACCAAAAGCCAAGAAGTATTCTTTTTTCAAAAGTAAAACATTTTTGTCATCAAAGAATCATCAACACATTTTGGAAAATGTCCAATTTTATTACGAATTTATTTTACTGCTGTATTTCAAAAGGTCTGTAATTTTATGAGTAGAGGTACTTCCTCCATCCTGGTGTATTGTGGCCCTTCTTTCCTTTAGTAGACAATCTTAATGAGTTACTCTGGCCAAACTATTCTTCACCTGGTGACCAATTTTAAGCCTCTTTGTAGGTTTAGGTAGGCTAGTCCTCCAATAGCAAACTAATTTATAACAAAATAGTTTACCACTGGGCCTGTCCTCAAAGTCTTTCCAGTTTTCTTTTTTTTGCTAGGCAATGGGGTTAAGCGACTTGCCCAGGGTCACACAACTAGTAAGTGTCAAAGTGTCTGAGGCCGGATTTGAACTCAGGTCCTCCTGACTCCAGGGCTGGGACTCTATTCGCTGCTCCACCTAGCTGCCCCTCTTTCCAGTTTTCTTGCTGGCTTTGTTTTTCTCTGATAGACAAATGGTTTGTCACTTGGCTTTTGCAACTTGATGGTAGGACCTGAAAGAGATTGTCCTTTGGCACAGGCTTCTAGAACCTAAAAAGCTATACATAAAAATAGGGCTTACATTTCCATGTTAAGAACAGCTTCTTAACCACCAGAATTGTCCAGAAAGTGAAACAAAATGAAATGGGAATGTTTCAGTAGGTAGTGATTTTGTCATCCCTGGAGGACTTCATGGGGAGGTTTGAAGGATGTTTTGGAGGGGATTCATGTTTAGGTGCAGGACTCAGTGCTTCTTAAAACTGTGGGTCTCTACTCTATATGGATTTAAGAAGTGCTGAAGGGGTTGTGAGTGGGAAAAGTTTAAGTAGCCCTGAACTAGATGACCTTTGAGGTTTGAGTTGTAAGTCCCTTCCAGCTCAGATTATGTGAAATAGACAAAAATTTACCTTTCCCCTCCCTTTCTCATTTTTTTTTTACAGATACAGTACCAGTAAATGTGTTTACTTTATTCAAATTAAAGAATTTCCAACTCTGTAGCCTTGTTATAATTTTTTTTTTTGTTCTGAGTTTAATGTCCTTCATGAAGCTCCTCCGGTGTTTTACTAATTAGCCACCCTGAGTTCTCAAAAACTATGCTAACAGTGTACAAACTGTCAAGTTTTACCAAGCTGGAAAACCTTCAAGTATAGATTGGAGGACAATCCTAGCTAGGTGTGGATAGACTTGTTTAAAGTTTGGCTTCCCAGAGATTTTTTTATTTGTTTAAAGTTTGGTTTCCCGTAGTTTTTTTTTGTTTTGGCTATTGTAGTGTATTAAACCATTTACTAAGGCATAGAAGGGTTGCAGTCTACATTGGTAGAAAGTACCCGCACAACTAAAATTGCAGATCCTTTAAATATTTAATGTAATATAATGATTCTGATGTCCCTTTGAATTTATTAAAATGGGATCCTACTTGTAAATTGATCTTCAAAGTTAACTGCATTTCCCAGGTCTCCCAGGATACTTCAGTGTGACCATTGAAGGTGTATTGTGTCCCAGGGACTTGCAGTACTTATCTCTTAATTAATTATTAGTTAATGAGTGACTCCTCCCTTCATTTTGGCTATGAGCCCATTTTAGAATGGTTTATTTTGCTGGATAAATGACTGCCCTTTTAGTAAGTAGAATTACAATTTGATGATAAGATTCATACCAGGTGCACTTACAGTATTTCTTGAACATCTGCAGCTGATCTTAGAATACCTCAAGTAGCATTCAATGTACAATCATGCTGTACCTCAACAGCCACGTGGTCTCTGTTTGTTGGAATGTGAGGCAGCTTTGTTCAGAAGTGGTGTGGAAGAGTAATTTATAAATAAAGGATGGAGGAAGTATTTTCTTTTTCTTAAAAAGAACTTAATTCTGAGGTCTGAACAGTTTACATTTTTCCCCTCTCTGCCTGGAGATGTCTCTGAGTAAATGGAGTCTACATATAGAATCGCATTTATTTAAAGTCTGGACGTTCAATATGCACCTGCTAATCCAGTTGATTTGGGTGTGACTATTTAGGAATGCATCTCACCCTCTAGTCTTCACTGAACTTTCATTGTGTAGAATGCTGGCGATGATGAGATGTGGAGCTGCTCATCCCAATTTTCTGCTTGAGCAAGGCTCTGATTATTAGAAATCGGGATGAGTAGGCAGCTGCATGGTGCCTCTTAACATTGAGATATGTGCTCTTTTTAAGATTTGCCTCCTAATTCGCCCTTGGGATTTTCTTGTTACTGGTATCGTACTAACTTCAAAGGCAATGCATATGGAAATGAACCAATTCTTGTGCATGTTCTCCTTGATTTCTCAGATGATCCTGCCCCCAGACTCAGTGCACAGGCCCAGGCTGCTGAGGATATCTTGGATAAATATAGGAATGCCATTAAACGAACTAGTCCTGGTGAAGGAGCTGTGGGGAACTATGAAGGTGCAGGTAAGTACTGGCCCTGGGCTAGAGTCATCCACATCAAGGTTTCATTCTTCCAGTAGACTTTTCTCAGTCACAGAATATTAGAGCAAAAAAAGAATTTTAGAAGTTATGAAATGGGTGCTGTCTTGGAGATGGAGGTTCAAATTGTGGCCTTACCACTACCCTCTTCTGATTGTGGACAAGTCATTTAACTTATCAGAGTGTCTTCATTATCCCACACTTCCTTAGAGGGAAATGAAAGGATTAGACTAAATGATTTCTGAGGTCTTTCCACCTTGAACAGTGTATGTTCTAAGATTACTTCTTTGTCTTCTCTGTTTTATTATTCTTTGTTCTGTAAAATCCCTTTCAACTTTAAGATTCAATGATTGTGATTCTAAGCACGATAAAAATTTCAGATTGACTTTTATGTTGATGTGGTAGTATAGGAAATGTTAGTGTCTGGGTGTTTTAGAGCGGTGGTTCCCAGCCTACAGACCTTTGAGGAGCTGTGAAGGTATTGAAGGAATCCATATGCACACCAGCATTGTTAATTTATTTTTATTTAGCTCTAACAAAATTGTGTTATAAAGCATAATAAACAGGCTTGCTGTAGACTGAATGTTTTGAATATATGATGACAATCCAAAATGTGTGTAGATGCTTTTATGAATTATAAAATGTAAATGATTTAAAAGTGTTACTGCATCCATAGTAGTTTATTATCACAATGTATTTTCTCAATAAATGTGTACTAATAAATAGCACAACTATTTTAATGGAGCGCCATGAAATTTTTTAATGTTAAAAAAGATACTCACAGTAAAGTTAGGGAACCACTGTTCTGGAGAAGAGAAGAAAGTGGGAAATTACATCTTTATTTTTAAAAATAGGAATTAATTGAATTTAATTGAAAATTGAATTGATAGTACCCCCTTCCTCAACTCAGATAATTGTGTGTCCAAATGGCTTCAGTGTTGGTTTTTGTGGAAGTATGCAATTGATTTTTAAAATCTTTGTAGAGATGATTTTAAGATCTTGTAGAATCATAGCTTCAGAAGTTTATAGGACCTTAGAAATCATTTAGTCCAACCCACTTAACCAGGTATGGACTTTGTGTCACAACAGGGGAGGGTTGTGCTACATGTCCTACACAAACCCTGTTACACCAATTTACCTGAGTTAGACAGAAATGTGTCAGCTGAATCTTAGGAAAAGTGAAAAGGAATATGTCTTTATGATGTCTATAAATTTCTTCTCCTGGTGCTCATTAAGAGAGGGGTGTGGTGTAGTGAAGAGGGCAATAGAGTCAAAAGGTCCAGTCTCTGGTCTTAGTTCTGACAGTAATTATCTTTGTGATCTTAGGCAAGTAAGTCGCTTAATCTCTATGGAGCCTCACTTTCCTTATCTCTGAATTAAAGGGATTGTATTTGATGAGCCATAAGGCCACTCGTAGGCCAGCGATAGTTCTATGGTTCTGGGGCATTGACTTAATTAAGGTCATCTTATGCTGTGTCACTTAGTAACCCTGTAATTTTGTAATACTATTTTTCCACCTACTTACAGGGTGGTTGTGATAATCAAATGAGAGATATAACATATGTAAAGAATTTATAACTTCAAAATACTAGGAAGTATCAGATTAATGCAGAATTTCAAAACTTCATTAGTGTTAGTAATCTTTCAAACAGTAATTCAGCAAATATTCATTAAGCACCCACCATGTTTAGAACACACAATTTAGATAGGACATAGACTGCCCTCGTGGATAGTCCAGAGGAACTGACTTAGTGATAGTTGCCAATCCTAAAATAAATGAGTTTTATTATTTGAAGTTTTCTTCTGTAACAGAGAAATACAATTTACATATTGGTTTTCTCAAAGAAATGTATTAACAATTCAAAACACAATATCATTTGAAAACTTTTGATTCTTTAGCACCTCTAAAACTAATAGGGTTGTGGTTTTTGGGGAATGGGTTTTGTTTAGAAGTTATGGGAGATGGTGAAAGTGTACATGACTCTCCTCGTGATGAAGCCCTGCAGAATATCTCCGCTGATGATCTCCCGGACTCAGCCAGCCAGGCGGCTCCCCCACAGGACTCCCCTTTCTCTTATAGGTATGTGGGGCCTTGGGGTCTGCTTGCTGCCAGCCTTGCAATCACTTCAGTTTTCTGTTTGCTCAGCTACCATTTACTTTGGTACTGTGAGAAACAAAGTTTCTATGACATACAAATTCAGCTCTCTTGACTCATATGTTCTAGTGACAGGGATGGGTTATTTACACCACTAACTATAATGCAAAAATAGGATAATAGTTTTAATGTAACAGAATTCAAAATCAAATCTTTAGCTGATTCATTTGATAAAGATGAGGAAAAAATTGGAGGAAGAACTGTTAGGAGGCAGCTAGGTGGTGCAGCACATAGATCTCTAGATCTGGAGTCAGAAAGAGCTGAGTTCAAATCCAGCCTCAGTTACTTACTAGCTGTGTGACCCTAGGGAAGTCACTTAATTTCTGTTTGCCTCAGTTTCCTCATCTGTAAAATGGAGATAATAATAGCGCCTACCTCCCAGGATTTATGAGAATCAGATGAGATAATAATTGTAAAATACGAGCACAGCGCCTGGGACGTGGTAAGTGCTATATAAATGTTATTGTTGTTGTATTATCTCATTGAGATAAAGTAATATGTCTTGTACAGCTGCTTGATGAATGAATTATTTATTTAGGGCCTACTGTGTTCTAAACATTGTGTTAAGTTCTGAGGAAAGAAATCATGTTTAGCACATAATAAGTGCTTAACAAATATTTACTGATTAATCAAAATAGAAAATTTGAGGCAGTCCTTGCGTTTAAGGAAGGAGTCCACACTCTTATTGTAGGAGACAGCATATACAAGAGTTCAGCTGCAGCGTTCATGGAAAGACCCAGAAGTCCTAACAGATTAGCAGTAAAGTCGATGGCAAGGCCCAGGGGTCCTTAGGGTATTTCAGCAAGTCAGATAGCAGTGCCCTGGAGGGTGTAATGTCAGGGCAGATGGTAAAGTGTAGAGGGACCTTCGGCTGGAATGGTAAGGCAGATGATAAGCCTTGGTAGTCCTCCATATCACTGGCAGAGTTGTAGTTCATGACTTCTAGCTTATCCAACTAGTGTTAGTTTGAATGATTCTACAACTTTTGCTTGAATACAGATCTTTTGACTCCAAATCCAGTGTTTTTTCTAGTATATCCTACAATATCTTATATTGTAAAACATGACGTTCTTGGGGACAGTACCAGCTCTTCTCATGGGAAGTGATTTTGGACTTTGTGAAGATGCGTCATCTTTGTGTTGAGAGTTGGCTGATGAGAGCATTTTGTTACTGCACTCAAATAGGAGGAAGATCCATCATTTATTTGAAGAATCCTTTAGAGTTTTATAGATTCAGGCATGGACATGCATGATATGACAAAATGACAAGTGTATTCTTTTAATTGAGTATCTATCCTGGATGGGACCAAGACCTGCCAGGACTTCTCAGTCTACTGATTGTTAGCCACTTCTGCTGATTAACATGGAAAACAATGATGCAGTCAAAAGAAATCTGAAATAAATTTCTAGAAACTCTGAAGGATTTGAGGACACAGGTGGTATTTTTTTCTCTATTAATGATCATGATTTTGGAATAAAAAGCCTTTGAAAAATAAATGGCTAGTTGTACAGATATTGGAAAAAAGATTTGGTTTATCGTTTCACCACATCAGAACATCATTTCCTCCCAATTTTACCCATTAACTGAGGGGTTTCTTTAGTCAAAACTATCTTGGATGTTTTCATAGTTCATAGTTATGATCTATTTTACAGAATCACAGAATTTGAGAATTAGGAGGGGCCACAGCAGTCATCTTGTCCAACTCATATACAGAAGAAATCTTTACTATAACATACACTACAAGTCATCGTCCAGCCTCTGCTTGAAGACCTCTAGGGAGAGAGGGATCCCATCACTTCCCAAGGCAGGCCATTCCACTTTTGGACAAATAATTGTCAGGAGCTTCTCCCTGACATCTAGCCTAAATTTGCTTCTTTGCAATTACCACCCATTGTTCCTAGTTCTGTCTTCTGGGGCCCAACAGAACAAGTCTAATCCCTCCTCCAAATGACAACCAGCCCTTCAGAGGCTTGAAAATAGCTGTCAGATACCTGAATATAGCTATCATGTCCCACCTGAGTCTTTTCTTTTATAGGCTAAATATGCCCAGTTCCTTCAATCTCTCCTCTTACAACGTGGAGTCAAGGCCCTTTACTATCCTGGTTGACCTTCTCTGGACACTTTCCAGGGTAACAGTGCCCTTCTTAAACCTGTTTTACCAAGAATAGAGTACAGTATTTCAGATACTCTCTGATGAGGGCAGAACATGTTAGGATTCATTATTCCTATTATCATTATCTTAATCTTTCTTTCTCTTAATAATGTCTTTCTCAAAAAAGTATTAGCTTTTTTTTGACTGCCGCATCACATATTGAGCTTGCAGTCCATGAAAACCCCTAGATCTTACTCATAACAACTATTGTCTACCCATGCCTCCCTCATCTTGTTCTTGGAAAGCTGACTTTTTTTGTATCCATGTACAGCACTTTATATTTGTCCCTATTAAATTATATCATATTAATTTCAGCCCAGAATTTTGGCCTGTCAGGTTCTTTTTGAAAACTTTCTATATTACCTAGTGTGTTTGCTTCACTTCATCTCTATATTGGTTGATCAGGCCATCTTTGCCTTTAAGTCACTGATAAAAATGTTGAATAGGAAAAGTCCAAGCACAGGTTCTCCACTGGAGTAGGCCTTTCCTGTTAACATCGAACATTAATATGTGCTCTTTGGATCTAGCTGCCCAGTTCTAAATTGCAATGAGAGGTATCATCTCAGTTTTTTATTTGTGCAGTGAATTATAATAAAAGACTCATGTCCCTGAGTAATGAAACCAATTTCCTGTATTTTTACATCCTTCTAGGGATGCCAAAAAGAAACTGAGGCTTGCACTTTGCTCAGCAGATTCTGTTGCTTTCCCAGTGCTCACTCATTCGACGAGGAATGGTCTGCCCGACCATACAGATCCGGAAGGTAAGGTGCAGCTTGATCAGTGGATAATGACATGGTTTTTTTTCCTGTATTAATACTTATAACAGCATGCTTTATGAACAATTCCCTTCATTGAGGACCCATTCTGATACCTCATGCTGGTGCAGAAGTGGCCTTTAGTTCTTTAAGGTTAGTCAGTAGAGAGCATAAGCTCTTGCATGCTTCGAGTATTGTTCCAGTAATAGGCTCTGTGTTAGCCAAGGAACAGTATAATGAAGTTCAGAAGGTTCACCAGAAAATGGATTACTGGAGCAACTAGATGGTGCAGTGGATAGACAGGTGGACAGACAGATGGGCGTGGACGAAGGAAGACTTGAGTTCATATCTGGCCTCAAATATGAGGCTTACAGCTTACTAGTTGTGTGACCCTGGGCAAGTCACTTAACTTCTGTTTGCCTCAGTTTCCTCGCCTGTAAAATGAGGATAATAATAGCACCTATTTCCCAGGGCTGGTGTGTGGATCAAATATGATAATAAATGTAAATTGCTTAGTATAGTGCCTAGGACAGAAGTGTTATATAAATGTCAGTTATTATTGGAGGGTAATTTTTTTGGCCACAGTAACTCAAAAAAAAGTGGAAGGGCTATTATCTGTGTTAAAGTGGAGAGAGAGTTCCCATGCTAATATAATCAAACTTCTTTTGTCTTCAAAGCATGGATAATTCATGTCAACATTTATTAAGTGTGTTAAGTGCTGAAAGATTCAAAGATGGAATAATATATGATTTCCATTCTCCAAGAGCTTCCAGTCTAGTGAACATGTTCACAGAGAAGGATGGCCTAATATATCTGTACAAAGCATTCTGTAATAAGGTGGTGGAAATAAATATACTACCATAAATATAATTCCCAACTTGTGAATAAGTTTTATTCCAAAAGTGAATTTGTAAATTGATGGTTTGGAATACAGTGTATGTTTTTTTTTTTCTGAGGAACAGTATGTTGTACACAACGATTAGATTCTCCATCTAACCTACAAAAACCCAATTAACTCCTATGTTCCTGAATTGTTTACTTTTAAAAGTCCAAGCATCTTTGATTTCACTAGTGTACTACTCTGCTGAAAAAGATGGCAGGGTCCTTCATGTCTCAGTAGATGATTTTTGTGAGTTTTTGTGACTGAAAAATAATAAATGTACATTGACTAATTGAAAATTTCATCATCTATTGGCTAAAACTGATCACTTGTTAATTCTCTCTTCAGATAGTTTGGTCCTCAGATAACAGGCATATAGCCCCATCATCTGACCTGTCCTTGAATTTCTTCTAGGTTGGTGGAACCTGCTAAAGCTTGTACTTCAGTACTGTAGCCTGCAAGAGCCCAAGGTTACTATTCTGTCATAATGAGTCATCTGAGGAGGATTTTAATCATGCAATTATGTATAACATGAGAGGCAGTTTTCTCTTAAAAACCCCTACTCTGATAACTCATCATGGATTGAAAGTGACTGTAGCTTCTGTTAAAGCTATGCCAACAGAGTACAACTAGCATTTATATAATAATTGCTGGCATTGATGTAGTGCTTTATGGTTTGCAAAGCACTTTAGAAATATTATTTCATTTTAGCCTCACTATAGCCCTGGGATGTAGGTGCTATTATTATTATTTCCATTTTACAGATGAGGAAACTGAGGCAGGTTATCCCTTGCCCAGGGTCACATACCTGGTAAGTGTTTGAGGCTAGATTTGAACTCAAGTTTTCCTGATTCCACTTCCAGCACTACCTTTGAATATGGGCCTGGCAATGAACCCTGTGTTTTCAGAGCCCCACCCCTAGCTAACTGCATAAAAGTTTATTAATAGAGGGCTGTACTGTAATGATGAAGTTTTTTTGACCACTGCAACTCACTATGATTGCCTACTAAGGCATGGAGAAGGGGTGGTCTGGGAGACTGTGTGCATTGTGGTAGAGCAGATTCCTTATCAAACTGGAATGTCACTGGTAGTGGCTGTGATAATATTCTTGTCTTATGCAAGCTTATGGTAATACATGACACTAGTGAAAATTGCTTTTTTTTTTTAATTGTTAGACAATGAGATTGTATGCTTCTTAAAAGTTCAGATAGCTGAAGCAATTAATTTACAAGACAAGAACTTAATGGCTCAACTTCAAGAAACAATTCGCTGCGTGGGACGTTTTGATAATAGAACTTGTCGGAAACTGCTGGCATCTATTGCAGAGGACTACCGGTACTTTATGCACCCATTCGGTTTTTTTTTTTAAACCCATTCAGTTTTTAAACTAAATTTTCAGCTCTATGTGTTTTTTTTTTTCCTGTCGAATCTTTTAGAAAAGAATCAAGGTGGTGGGATTTAGCTTTAATATGGAAACAAGTGGCAGATGTGCTTTCATTAGTATTGTAGTGAGGTCATTATGGAGAGATGTGCTTGTTTTTGGCAGCGTCTAACCTGGGATATACCTTTAAGGTGATGTTTGAGAGACAGCAACATTGCTGGAATAGATGCATCATTTAGGGAAATCTCCCTTTATTTAAAAAAAATTTGCTGTTCGTATGTGAATCTATTTCAGCTTGAAACAAAGGTTGCGTTGTATTAGTTGTAAAATCACTGAATTTGGAGACTGGAGGGCTGAGTTTGTATTGTACTTCCTAAATGTATAGATAGTCAGGTTCTTCATTTTAAAATAGGCATGGATTGTGAAGGAAGTGCTTTGTTGGCCTGAATGCACTATGGAAATGTGAATTGTTATTACAAATAGTGATAAAGGGTGTGAGGGCTTTGATATGGAAAAGAGGTTATGGTAGTAGGAGGGTGGAGCAGATTTACTCCACTTTGGTCAAAGTAACGCAGAGCTGTGTTAACATTACCACTGTGTTAATTACTGTGGGCTCATATAGAATGACTTTCCACTGTTTCCTTTTTACAGGACTTGAGCCACAGTGTAGAGAAAAGGCTACTAAAAGGGTTTAATGAGTCAGTCTCAAAGCATTGGGTTTGTTTGTGATATTCTTTGCTGCTGTGCAAGACAACAAAGCTTGACTCAGCGCCATGTAACCCACAGAAAGAAGACTGAGCTGAGTCACATCTGAATTTTCTTTCTAGCTCTTCTGCTTTCTTTACTCTGTGACTTTGGGCAAGTCACTTTACCTCTCTGGCTTTATTTTTATTATCTCTGGCGGAATATTAGAATCCTAGGGATCATCTCGTCTAACCCTGTCATTTTACAAATGGAGAAACTGAGACAAAGAGAAGTCATTTGTTCAAGGTCACAAAACTAGCTGGTCACAGAACTGCCCTGAATTCAGGTCTTGTGACTGATTTCTGATTCTGTAGATTCTATGTCTATAGAATCTCAGGTTGGAAGAGACCTTGGTTATCATAATAGTTTAACCCTTGGCCAAAGCAGGAATCTTCTCTATAGTCTCTTGTTTGAAGATTTCTGATCATTAGAAACTTACTGTCTTCTGGTAGAGCTCATTTTGCTTTTGGTCTGTTCTAATTGATAGGAAGTTTTCCTCTATGAAAACCCTTCAGATATATAAAGGCAGAAATCATCTCTCCTCCTCACCATCATCATCTCTTTGGCTCTTTAAGGCCCCTTCCAGATTTGATGATCTCTGTGTATTGTTCAAGAAGAATGGTTGTACTGTGACCTATTGGTTTATGAACAGATGCCTAGAAAACAACTTCTTCATGAAGAGGAAATCTTGATCCTGAAAGATATTTTATATGTTGTGCTAGTCTATTTCTGGTGTTTTTCAAAGCATTTCTTCTTTTAGGAAAAGAGCCCCATATATCGCTTACCTCACTCGTTGTCGCCAGGGGCTACAGACCACACAGGCCCATCTGGAAAGGCTGTTGCAGAGGGTTTTGCGAGACAAAGAGGTGGCTAACCGGTACTTTACCACAGTTTGTGTGAGATTATTGCTGGAGAGCAAAGAGAAGAAGATTCGGGAATTCATTCAAGGTAAATGACTTAGGATTTGAGTTTGAGATTTGTGGTTCTATCTGCTGACAGATTACATGGAACCTGTGATTAGAGACGAGACCTAGGGTTCATATCCCAGTCTTAATGCTTCTAGCTCTGTGACTTAGGGCATCATGCAAACTTTCAATTCAGTAAAGATATCTTAAGCACACAAGTGCTGTTAGAAATTTAAATATTATTAGCATCATCTTCCCTTCCCTCAAGGATATTACTATTATTAGCAATATCATTCCTGCCTTAATAGGGGAGATAGATACACACAAATAAGTGTGAGAAAAGGTTGAATGTTATAATGATGAGTAATGTGAAGTGTTTTAGGAAAATTTGAGGGGAAATGATAATTTTTAACTGGAAGGTAGGGCATGTATTAGTTTTTATGATAGACTTGGCACATGAACTGTATCTTTGAAGGAAGGGTAAGATTGCAGTAGATGGTGATGAAGAGGGATTATGTGTCAAGCATGGGAAATGTTGAGGGTAAAATGTAGGCGAGCAGGAGAGGACAGGAGATAGGAGAGAACAGGTAGTCCGGTTTGGCGAAAATCTAGAGTCAGCAAAGGCTAGACAGATAGTTTAGAGCCAGAATTTAAGGGACCTTGAATGTCAGGCCAGGTAGTTGGTAGTTCACCTTTTAGGCTAAGGAATTACTGAAGATTTCTGAGCAAGAGAGTTCGTACCCTCGCATCCTTAACTTTTTACATACTCACCTTTTGTCCTGCTCTCACCACATTCATTGTAATTATTCTTAAAATCAGGAAAAAACAGAGACCTGGGACTACAAGAGAATTTGGCATCTTTTTTAGTTGGCAGCTGGGATTGTAGCCAGAGTAAGCTTTTTTTTTTTCTTCCTCCCTAATTTCCACTTTGTGGGTTGTTTTGCATTGAAGACTTTCAGAAGCTCACAGCAGCTGATGATAAGACAGCTCAGGTAGAAGATTTCCTGCAGTTTTTATATGGTGCCATGGCTCAGGATGTCATCTGGCAGAATGCTAGTGAGGAACAGCTCCAGGATGCTCAGATGGCAATTGAGCGAAGTGTGATGAACCGAATTTTCAAGCTTGCCTTCTATCCTAACCAAGATGGAGACATTCTCCGTGACCAGTGAGTAAAAACATTGTTCTGTGCTTATGTTTGCTGGCCTATCTAGAAATTGGCTAAATATCTTTGTGGAGAGTTGTGGGCACTAGATCAGAATCTGTGAGTTTGAGCCCCAGTTCCACTTTTTATTAGTCATGTAACAATTCATTTCACCTCTTTGACCCTCAGTTTCCTCATTTGTAAATTGTGGGTAATAATACCTACCTTACCTGTCTTACAAGCCTGTTGTGAGGTAAATGCTTTGCATATTCTGACTAAGAGAGTGAGGGTAATTATTATTGTACCATCTAAATGAGACTCTAAGCAGGCCGTCCAGCCAGCATGTATAGTATTTATCTTATAAAGCAAAAGACTTCTTTTGAAGAAAAAAGGCATATTATAATGCTTCTAAAAATATTTGCACTACCATTGTCACAGAGTTGATCTGAAGATCAAATCATATAATTTGTATAGAATACCTTGTAAGCTTAATTGTGATACAAGCCATCATTATGTATTTTTTAGAGAGCTTTAAGGCTTTAAAAAATTTATCTTTTTACTGATATCTTTTGTTTTTGAATATATTGTTTCTGAATATACTCTTTCCCCTGAGCCATTTTTTGTAACAAAGATTTGAAAGAGAGAGGAAAAAAAAATATAGTTCAGCAAAATTAATCAACACATCAACCATGACTGACGGTATAAACTACATTCTACATCCATAGTCTGGAGTGAAAGAGAGGTGCAATTTTTCAACTTTTTTCTAGGGCCAAGCTTGTTTATCATTTCTACAAACCATTTACTTTGGAGGTTTTCTTCATTTTCTTTATATTGTTTTCACTGTACTTATTGTTTTCCTAGTTCTGCTTATTTCACTGTTCATCAGTTCATATGTCTTCTCATGTTTTTCTGTATTCTTCATATTTGTCATTTATTTTTTTATTTTTTGCTAGGCAGTGGGGTTAAGTGACTTGCCCAGGGTCACACAGCTAGTGAGTGTTATGTGTCTGAGGCCGGATTTGAACTCAGGTCCTCTTGACTCTAGGGCCAGTGTTCTATCCACTGCGCCATCTAGCTGCCCCCCTTATTTGTCATTTCTTATAGCACATTAATATTCCTTTGTATTTAAATATATGCCTCAATTTATTTCATTCCCCAGTTGATAGGAACGTGATTTGTTTCCAGTTTTTTAATGTCACAAAAGATGACACTATGGATATCTTTATGTATATAGAACTTTTCTTTCTGTCTTATACTTCATGAGAGATAGTTATATGCCTAATAGTGAATGGAGTTACTTGGTCAAAGCGTATAACTATTTTAGTCACTTTTCTAGCATGATTTCAAATTGCTTTCTGGAATAGTTGGGTCATTATCATTAATTCTATATTATATTATTGATAGTGATATTGTTATAGTCATGATAATGATAATATTGGTCCATCTGTAAATGAGTCTCAGTATACTCCAAGCAGTTTGTATACTTGACTTTTATATGGAATTTTAAATATATTTTGAAAGATAAAATTTAAAAGCAACTCGTGTTGTCATTCTAATCCATATCTACAAACAAGATGCGTATAAACCTGAAGAAATGAGTTACAACTATTGAAATATTTTTGTTGTTGTTGTTGTTTTTAGGGTTCTTCATGAGCATATCCAGAGATTGTCCAAAGTAGTGACTGCAAATCATAAAGCACTTCAGATACCTGAGGTAATATAATACAACAAACTCCAGTTTATCTAGAAGGGTTGGGTATTAGTAAAGGTTATTTAGCAATTTTAGATTACCAGCTTTCAAATAATTAATATTCTAAGATCTATAGCACTATTATTATTTAATTTTTAAATTGCTCATTAGGTTTCAAGACTCTGTTGTGCCTTAAAGTGGTTGTTCTGTGTACCAGATACCACCAAATAGTACCTTGGATACAGAAAAACAGTGTGGTCTGGTGGAAAAAGTTGCAGTCAAAAAACACAGTTTTTCATAATGACTTTGGGACCAGTTAACTTGAGCACATCACTTAACCTCTTAGTCCACTTCTTCATCTGCAAAATGGGGATAAGATACCTTACAGGTGTTTAAATATCTAAGGTAGTTCTGGGGTTGCTATCATAGGAGAGCAGATTAAATTAGTGACACAATCTAAAAGCTGTTTCTTTTTTTGTTAATTCTCTGACAAATTGTCATTTATCTTTATCATAAAAGAAGACATAGAAATAATTCAAGATATTTATGCGTTCTAGTTTTATGGAATCATGGGATATTAGAATAATAAATACAAAATGTCCTGCCTGGAACATAAAACATTGAATATTAGCGTTAGAAGGAACCTTAGAACATAGAATTTCAGAGTTGGAAGTGCTCTTGGAATAATACAATGTTGAAGAGATGAGAAGAATATTTGAGTGGAAAACTTGGATTGAGAACTTAGATTTCTCCTATTTGAGAGATAGTACTTAACATATCTGTGATTTAGTAACTTATGCCAGTAACTTGTTTAAATACATTTTGAATCCTTTCCTCAAAATGGGATAAGTTCCAGTCTGATGGCATAAGGAAGCTAGTTCCTTGGAGCTCTCAGTTCCCCAGGCTCAGAGCCATTTTTCTTTTATTATTTATGGACACATCTCCACTGAAGTCTTCCATAGATACCTCTCTATGGCTTGTGAGTAACCTTGGGCTCTCAAATACTATGCTATTAGCAGGCTTTACTGACTTGAAAGGCTTTAAGGACTGGCTGTATGAGGGTTTAGACCAATCTAATTAAGTATGGAGAGCTACCAGAATGTGGCCACTAGGGGATTTCTTCTTCTTTTTTTGCCCATAGCAACTTTTATAACCACCTTCTAAGACATGGAGGAGTTATAAGCATGACAAAATCATGAATCTTGAAGTAATGAATTATATCTCTGTGAACATTTTAAAAAGTATAGTGCATTCTACAGTTCATTGCATGACAAAATTGGAACTTATTAGCAAGATCTTGAAAGACTGGAAAAATGGACCAGATCTTATTGGATGAAATTAAATGTGAAAGACTGTAAAGTCTACTTGAAGTTAAAAAACATCAATTTTACAGGTGCAGAATGAGCAAGATAGTAACTGTCAGCAGTTTATGTGAAAGAGAACTATGGTTTTAAATAGGCTTCTAGCTCAGTATCAGACAGAGGTGTGATGCAGTGACCACAATAGTCAGTGTGATCTTAAATTGTGCTCCTAGGAGTCTGGTGTTCGGAAACAGACATGTTTTGGGGAACGTCTTCAGGGGAAGACCCTTGCTCAATAAGCTCCAAAGATTCCTTCTCACCTACAGTAACAAATGCAAACTCTTCTCTTTGGTGTTTAAAGCCCTTTACAACCTACTGCCAACTTACCTTTCTAGGCTTCTCGCAAATTACTCTCTTTTGTGCTCTCTACAGTCCTCACACTCTGGCCCTCTCCCCATTCCTTACACATCCTAGTCCATTTTGCCTCTTTGCGCCTTAGTGTAGGCTGTCCTCCAGGCCTGGAATTCACCCTCTTCTCACCACCACTTGTTGAAATCTCCAGCTTCCTTCAAAACTCTACTCAGACACCATATCCTTCATGAGGCCTTTCCTGACCCACTGAATTGATAGTGTTTCTACTGTAAAATTATATCGTGTCATACACACACATGCATATACAAATGAATACCTCTTTTATTTTTTAATGAAATATTAGTTCCTTTAGGTGAAGAGTATTTCGATTTATGTTTATAGTCCCTGTACATATGACAGTGCCTAGGGGCAGCTAGGTAGCTCAGTGGATAGAGCACCAGCCTCGGAGTCAGGAGGACCTGAGTTCAAATGTAGCCTCAGACACACACAGTACTCACTAGCTATGTGACCCTGGGCAAGTCATTTAACCCCATTGACTAGCAAAAAAAAAAAAAAAAAAACAAACCACCACATATGACAGCGCCTAGCACACAATAGGGACTTATTAATTGGCTGAAAAAAGGGAAGCAATTATACTTTTGTCCTCTCACCTGGTCAGACCAAAACTGGAGTGTTATTTTAGGCTTTACATTTTTGGAAGGGGAGAGACAGCTGAAACATATGTGAAGGAGTGTGGCAAGTATGATGAAGGAACTGAAAACCATGCTGTCTGGGGACTGGTTATAGGAATTAGGGAAGTTCAGCTTGGAGAAGAGAGAGGACTTGGCAAGTATTTAAAGATTTGTTTAGCTTGGAGGGCAGCCAGGTGGTGCCATAGTGCGTAGAGCACTGAGCCTGGAGTCAGGAGGACCTGAGTTCAAATGTGGCCTCAGACACCTGCTAGCTATATGACCCTGGGCAAGTCATTTAATCCTGTTTGCCTCTGTTTCCTCATCTGTAAAATGAATTGCAGAAGGAAATGGCAAACTACTCCAATATCTTCTCCAAGAAAATCCCAAATTGGTCACGAAGAGTTGGATATGACTAAAACAACTCAACAACAACACCAAATTAGCTTGGAAAAGGATAAACTTCTGAACATGGTAGCTGTATTTATGGGTTATTATGTGGAAAGGGATTTAATTTGTTTTGCTTGATCCCATGGAGTATAAATAGGAACAATTGTGAGGAGTTTCATAGAGGCAGATTTTAATTCAAGGTAATGAAAACTTTCCCCAAATTAGAGCTTTCCTAGAATGGAATGGACTGTTGTGGGAGAGAATGAATTTACATATTATTAGAAATCTTCATGCAGAGGCTAGCTAACTACCATGGGGGATGTTGTAGAAAGGATTCTTACTTCAGAAAAGGACTCGATGCACTTTTCTCTAGGGTACGGGTGGGGAACCTGCAGCTTCATGTGGCCTTCTAGGTCCCCAAGTGTGGCCCTTCGACTGAATTCACATGTCATCGAACAGATCCCCTTAATGAAAGGATTTGTTTTATAAAAACTTGGACCCAGTCAAAAGGCCTCACCCAATGACCTACAGGCCACACGTGGCCTTGAGGCCACAGGTTCTCCACCCCTGCTCTAGCTCATCTTTGAGGTTTCTTTCAAATCTGAGATTCTGTCACCTGGTGTGATTGAAAAGCTGATTTCCATAGAAGCTTCTTTATAGACAAAGTAGATCAGTTTTATTCTGGCAATGAAAATTTTATTCTTCTGTACTTGTACTTATTAAGAGTTACTGATGTGAAAATAGCATATTTGTACACTATAGTCTTCCATTGTCTGTTGCTGGTGGTGGGTCCTATTTAGGCTGATATATCAGAATATGAATCTCTTCTCCCCTTTAGGTGTATCTTCGGGAGGCACCATGGCCATCTGCACAATCTGAAATCCGTACAATAAGTGCTTATAAGACCCCTAGGGACAAAGTGCAGTGCATCCTGAGAATGTGCTCCACAATTATGAACCTGCTGAGTCTGGCCAATGAAGATTCAGTCCCTGGAGCAGATGATTTTGTTCCTGTTCTGGTGTTTGTTTTGATAAAGGTGAGCCAACTACTTACATACTTCCAAAGATTTCTGATATCATTGGTGAGGTTACTCTACTGACGCAAATCATAGCCCCTCCTTGCCTTCCTTTGTGATGTGATTTTTGTCCACATCTTTCAGTAAGTCCTCCTTTGGGGAGCCCCCTAGTGCCCCTACAGGCGTGTCTTGAGAATACCTGTACAGCAGCATTAAGCTGTCTTGTTTTCCTGCACTCTCACTATGTGATTAGCTTGAGTCTTTTTCTGGTTTTTGTGTCATTGGTGATGTCTTTTATTATAAAGGTCACTCAATTACCACTGTTAAATACAATAATAGCCTAGTGGGTATGTTAAGCAACAGAAGCTAGGTAAAATGAAGGATGCAAATGAAGATAAAATCTGATATTTACAAAGCACTATGTGCATTGTCTCATTGGACTGTCGTTTGAGCTATATGATGGTAGTAAAAAATAGCCCACATTCGCAGGTTTCAAGGTCTAATTTGCTCCCAAAGATATTTTGCCTCTTGTTCACTGGGACTGTGTCCTTGAGGTCTGTTATTAAAAGAGGTTAGATGACAAGTAAGAGCTTTCAGAAGAAAAGGATGGGAAGTCTCAACTCCTGACTAAACATTCTTTCTAAAACAGTGTCAGAATCCATGACCTATAGGTAAACAGATAATGCATATTTCTCTTATTGTTGCCTTTGTTAATTCACATGCATAAATATTGTTTTGTGGTACTTGCCACATACTATATTGAATTTATTAGCTCTCTCACCTATTAATTTTAAGAATGTAATTATTTGTTACATTAAACTCTAGATTTAATAGATAATCATAATATTTGCTGTCACTTTGATGTTTACATTTTCACATTTCAGAATGTTTATGTACTTTTTTTTTAAGAAAGAATCATTTAGTTTTTAGATATGCCAGTGGTGGCATTGGTGCATACTGTGGCAATATTGTATAAACTGCATGATTTAGGCTTTGTTCTGCCTGCTTAATCCTAGAGGGACCAAAATTTAAGAATACTTTGAAGGACCAAGCTGTGTCAATTGCTGTACTGCTTTTTTTTTTTTTTTTTTTGGCGAGGCAATCAGGGTTAAGTGACTTGCCCCGTGTCACACAGCTAGTAAGTGTCAAGTGTCTGAGGCTGGATGTGAACTCAGGTCCTCCTGACTCCAGAGCCAGTGCTCTATCCACTGCGCCAACTAGCTGCCCCTGCATTTTTTATTTTTAATCTTTAAGGCAAGTAGATAAGATGAAAATTTTCTTTTGAAATAAAATTATATTTTTGCATCATTTTTTGCACCTGGACCTTTTAGGGTTAATTTCTTCTAAATTTACAACTCTGAGCTTTTTATACCTTATTTATTAAAAGTGCTATTAAACTAGTAGAATTTAATAGTAGTAAACAAAGGTTTCAGTGGTATTTTAGAACAGCTTTTAAATAAATGTCTAAGGTGTAACTTAGGAACTTTCTCACTAACTCCTTTTTAAAAATGAGTAACAAACTAAATGTGTTTAGACTGGAGTCAAAAGCCTTCCTTTCCCAATAGTTTATTATCAGATTTTTGCTTAGCTTAGTTTTAGTGCTCCACAGCTTCTGTGGTACCTTGATCCTATCCAAATTTTATTGGGGGGGCGTTTAAAGGGCCCTTTTTTTCTTTTATGAATCTGAACTACATGAGTGGGAAGAATTAGAGGATAACTCATTCATTGCTCTGAACACAGAGAAGTGAGTATAGCTTGCTGCTGCTGGGCCTAGGGAAGGAGTCCTTTTTTTATTGTACCCAGGGTACATAACTGCCAGTGAACTAAGATGGAGCCACCTAATTTTGGAGAGGAGAGGAAGAGTCCAGAATTTCCTAGATAAAAGGGACCTCAGCCATTATTCATTCCAAAGCATACTTGAAAAATTTTCGCATTATACAGTGTCCCAAGTGGTCATCCAGCTTTTGCTTGAGGACTTTGAGTGAGGGGAAGTGTTCTTGAGGTGGCCCATTCCACTTAGCATTAATAGTTAAGAAACATCATCAAACACAAATTTTCCTTTTTGCAGTACTGCCCGAAAGACAAAATCTCTTCCTTCTTTCACATTAGAGCCTTTCATTTACTTAAAAATAGCTGTTATATTCTCCCTAACTTTTCTTTTCTCCAGATTCAACATTACAATTTCCTTCAACCAATTCTCATAAGTTGTGATCACGAGACCATTCACTGTTGTGATTACCTTCCTCCTGAAATTATAATTTACCAGTGTCCTTCCTAAAATAACCCTGACCTTAATAGGGGCTGTGTGACCTGACTGGGGCAGAGTAGAACAAGATTGTTGCCTCCCTAGTTCTGTGCTAGTCACTGTACCTCTTTTAATGGAGGTTAAGGCCCCATTAGCTTTCTTAGATTTTTGGCCAGGCATGTAGTTAGTTGGATATAGCTCATGGAGCTTGTAATCCAGTAAACCCCCAGATTGTCTTAAAAAATAAGTTTTCATACCTTTTGTCTTTGCAACATGGCAATTTCTGAGGAGGGCAGGAAGCAGAACCCCTTCAGATTTAACCCTCCTGTGTAACAGCGGAAAAAGTCAAGCAGCAATACTTAGTAAAGTGATCTCATCTGACAGTGTATTACATCTTCTTTGTCTTGTCCAGCTGAACTTCTCTCTAGGCACCCCTGCTGCCTCTTCTTGTACTTCTGAAGTTGATTTTTTTAAACCATGTGGAAGACTTTATATTTAACACAGAGAAAAAAATTCATTTGGATTCTGTTTAACAACAACAATAAAAATAATATAATAATTAAAATAATAGCTAACTTTATGTAGTGCTTACTGTGTGCCCAGTGTTGTGCTATGTACTTTACAAGTATTATCTCATTTGGTTCTCACAACAAGCCTGGGATGTAGGTGCTATTCTTATCTCCATTTTATAGATGAGGAAACTGAGGCAGTCAGAAGTTAAGTGACTGCCCAAGGTCACACAGCTAGTAAGTGTTGGAGGTCATATTTGAACTTGGGTTTTCCTTGCTCCAGGTCTGGTACTCTATCTACTCTACCACCTGGCTGCCTGAATAAAAAGAAAAACAACCATCTGGAGGGGTCCTTGGCTGGGAATGATACTTAGCCTCCCTTACAAAGTGGTTCTGGGGAAAAGCATGTTGTAATCCTTAAAGTACTGAAGAAATGTGAGTTGATCTTTAGATTAATTTGTATTTGTTGTTTTTCTTCCAGGCAAACCCACCCTGTTTACTGTCTACTGTTCAGTACATCAGTAGCTTTTATGCTAGCTGTTTGTCCGGAGAAGAATCGTATTGGTGGATGCAATTCACAGCAGCAGTTGAATTCATTAAAACCATTGATGACCGGAAGTGACCTACTCTGAAGCCTGCTAGTGCAGGCAGACTGTTTAGGGGAGCAGAATCTTTTAAATAATACTCACCAGCTGCTTAGCAGGCTGAAGATTGTCCTTGTATATTGTACAGAGTTCAGGCATTTTCAACCAGATCTTTACTAAACAGATTAATGAGTTAACTAGCAGGTTTTCTTTTCTTTTTTTTCCCCCCCGTTCCTATTTCTGGGTTGCATATTTTATTCTCCCCACTCTCAGTAGAGGCTAGAGCTGCAACAAGGGACCACATTTTTCAGGTATTTTGGAATATAAAAACCTCTTGGGAAAATTCCTAGGTAATCATTCATGGATAGCCATTCTTTCTTTTTCTAAAAAAAAAAAAAAAAAAAAAGGACCAGGTCACCTCTTTTAAGATATCTAGTATTGGTAAGAAAACACCCACTGAACCTGAAGGTTTATAATAGTTGAAACATAAGTGGCATTATCTCTGAATCTATATACCTAAATTGAGAAGCTGAGAAGGAAATGTAAATATAGTATATATATTTATATTTGTTGTACTATGGACATCTTCAGACTCTTTCGTAAACAAGGAACTTCTGTGTCTTGACAGTAGGTTGTGCCATAACCCTGTTGTGATATGGTTTCCTCTAAAGAACTTAAGCTGAGCTTAAAACAAAAAACCATAAATATTTATTAAAATACAAGGTAGTTTATTGAACTTTCCAAGAGTTTGATGCGTGCAGTGCTACAGTTGACGGCAAGTGTAAATTTTTGAATCTTTCACCATGGAGGTTTGGGAGCTGCACATAAAAGAGATGGACTGTGTCTAGAGATAAGCACTGACTATAGAAAGGAATAGTAAATATCAGATATCTTATTGTAATATTTTTCTTCTGAAATATTGTGTATACTGTACAAACCCCAGACAGAGCTCCTTATGAACCTTAAATTGTAATATATGTTTTGATTGATTATTCACATTGAATGCATACGCCAGGGGATTCAGTGAATGGCGTTTTTTTTACTAAGTGTTCTTTGTATTGTCTGCTCTAGTGGTGCGGGTTTTACTAGTCATAAAATATTTTAACAAATCACACTGTTCTTATAAATATATATATATATTTTATATATATGTATATATAATATATATATATACACACATACATATATATTCATAAATAGGCACCATGTCAGGGTATTTGGGCAGATTTCTGTTCTTTTCTCCTCTCTTCTAACAAAATATGGCTTTCTTTTCATTTAGATAACTAAACTGGCAGATTATCTTTGGTGCCTGAGAAGTTGACTGAGCAGGCGCTTGACCACATTAAGCACATGTCTTGTATATAAGTGATCACTGGCTAGTTTTATTTTGTACCTCTGTTTTTCTCAATATCGGTAATAATCAGTTCTTTTACATAGTGGAGAGCTGAACCAGCTTCTTAATGCTAATAGTACCACCCCACTCCCCAAAGTATTTTTATTGCTGGCAGTTGGGTAAGGATGTAATAGCCAGCCTCTTGTAGGCAAGGAAAGACACAGCCTGTTCTCTTTCTGTAGGATGTGCTGTTTAGCATTTATAAAATACTGTGGGAAAATCAGTTTCTTTATTCCATCATTCTCCCTTTTCCATTCATTAAGTTGAAGATATCAAGTCATATAGAAATAGATGTAGAGTTAGGTGTTTGTTTTTAATGAGTGAACACGTTAAACTAATACTCCTAAACTTTCATCCTTCCTTTAAGTTTTTAAAAAAAGTCAACAAAATACAAGCTTGTGTACAGTATACTGTTTCCTAGGCTGTGCCTATCACAGTTGCCTTTGTTATTGTAGGTCAAAGTCTGTTATGTATTCCATTACCAAAAAACAAACAAAAACCCAAACATTTGTATGATAAGATTTCTAAGATTCAACTGGTCAACTTATTTCCATTGGTATTTAAAAATTTGGAGTCAATTGTAATGCGATTTGATTTTGATAATTTAACAAGAGATATTTGTTTCCTTGTGCACTAACTGCTCCCTCTCCCCCAGGGATTGTTAAAATCTATTCTGTGTCATCAGTGTGAAAACTATAAGATTCAGAAATGAACTTACATAGAGTTAATGTTTTGAAGAGGGGGTGGAGGGTGGGGTAAGGGTTTCATCTCTTTATAACCTTGACTGGAGGCATAGTGTTAAAGTGCTGGTAGCAATAGAATTTGCCTTATTTAGTGCTGCCTACCTGTAGTCATGCAAATGCTTGAACCCATAATAAGAACACTGTAGAAGTTCGGTTTCTGTGGCTATACATTTTTTTTTCATTTGTGATAGAGATGATGACTGTACTCTTAGTCCTGACAGTGGAGGCTTTTTGGCAAATTAACATAGTAGAGCTTGTTCAAGAGACAGTTAATGTATTCATTCTGAGAAACTTTAAAGGCAAGAATTATTTCAGGATCAACAATGGCACCAGTTGTGTTCAGTGTTAGGATTTGTTATTTTATTGATATTTAAGCATGGGATTCAGTACACTATTGTGTGTGTGTGTGTGTGTGTGTGTGTGTGTGTGTGTGTGTGTGTGT